TCCCACCAAACCCCAAAGATGCCTGATTTCCTGATTGTCTTTAGTTTTTTAGCAGTTTTAAGGTGGAGCAAAACAAAGAAATTGGAGGACTCATCTAATTTGAAGATATATCTGGAAGTGAGTTGAAGGACTTCAGTGTGCTGAGTAAATTTTAATTATAAGATAATGATGTGCACATTCTGCTGGAATATTTTACCCAGTTTATGATCTGACTGTAAAACTTAGAACGATATTGTATTTGGGAGTCCTGCAAAGACGTATTGGTAATCATTTCAGATTTTCTCTGTATGACTCTGGAAAGGTTATGACCTCCCAGGTTTTTTTTTATTATTAAAGTCCAACACACACATGTCTAAACACACTGACATGTATCTGTTAATTGTAAATCAGCCTTTTGTTTTTTATTTTTAGCCACTTAAAACAGAATTATCTAAGATGGTTGATTTTAAAGCAGCTTTCCAAATTAATTGAAATGTCATATTAAGAAAAATTAATGTTATGTGAGAGCATTTTACTGCAGAAATATCTCCACAACCTGGTACCCATACCTGGTATTATTCATTATTATACTACTAAAGTATGATTAAACAGTGAGTCAGTGGCCCCTCTCATCTTTGCTGCTTTTAGGTTCTGATAGATGCTCCTTTGTTGTGCACTGAGTCATGTGGGAAAATACGGGGGAGGTCACCTCTTCGGGAGGCCGTGACGGGCCAAACCATCCTGCCTCGCGTGTGCTTTCACACATTAACCCACAACCACCGAACTCGCCACTTTAACCAGTGGCAGTGTCGTTAAACCCGTCATGCTGCCCGCTCGAAGTGTGAAAGGACACGGCGGGCTGCTCTGCCTCCGTTTGGTGTGTGTGAATTAACAGGGGTGACAGCGGAGGGTCGGCGAAGATGCCCATAGTGTTCCAAGAATGCACAACGCGTGTGTGAAAGAGGCTTGCTTATTATCAAGAAGTCTCTGGTCATAGCTGACCTGAACAACTGTTACTCCAATGCTAATGAGCTATTGGTTTCCCTCCCGTGCACAGATGAACACACACCTGCCTTTATCCAGAGCTGAATTGGCATCCACCTGTGAAAAGGGATTTCAGCGACCCAAATCGTGACCTTTTAAACCCAGAACACCTGATAGAGAAGCTCACATTCACCTGGTGTATTAGCCGTCCTATTCTAAGAGAGGTGACATTTGGACCATCCACATTTCAGCAGGGCTGTGCAGCACGCATAGAACTACACACGCTGCCCAAATCCAACCTTTTAACCGACGGTCAAACTCTTATACATGGGGCAACAACCCATTCTCATCCAGAGGGGGGGGGGGGCAATTCAATCTTTCTCTTAAACCTGAACTGCATAAGTTTAATTTTGGATAACAAATGGAAATTATCCAAAGCAAATTAGCTTTCCCTTAGATTCCCTGGATGCACAAGCATTGTGGAAGAGAGTACGTGAACTGGTGAAAATATGGACTAATGCGGCAGTTTTCTAATTCAAGGATGGCCATGCAACCCACCAGAAAAATGGAATTGATTTGGGCTTTAACAGCAACTCTTCTGTACCATCCCAATTTTCAAAAAGCATTGGATCCATGAACTGGGGATGATACAAATATCTATCCCCCTGAGCTCTCCAGTGATCTTATCTGCTCTCCTTCATCCACACTTCTGGCCTGCACCCCCCCCCGATGAGCCAATATGCTTCCTCAATCGGTTGACTCAATTAACCGGTCAAAAAGGTCCCAACTTCGGCCGACCCCCCTCCACAAGGCCTGCAGCTGAGAAGCATGCTTATGGTGGAAGTGGGGGGCAAATAGGTTGGAGGCGGGGAACGTGTGTGATGATGGCGGTGGGGTCGGTCAGTGATCTTTTGTTCCGGCGCTGTCCATCTTGGCCCCCTTCACCCCTGGTGTCTTTCATAAAGAGTGTGTAATAACTGCCTTTGTTGGTTTTCCCTCTTTGAATGGGTCCAGCGGGAGGCCTTGTTAGTGCACGGGGTGCTACACCAGGGGACCTCGCAGGAACTCTTGGATTAGAGGGCTGCCCCTCTCTGCCCTAAATGTGATCTTTCTTTGTCACAATGGTCATTCAGCCAGTGGATGAATATGATTCTTCTGATCTTAATTGCGAAAGCTTCTTTGTTCTAAGTGCCTCAAATTTGGGGTTTGCTCGGTCATCAAAGGAGGAATTAAAGGACTATCATGCAGTTTCAGTAAGGATAAAAGAACTGTGTGCTACAGAGTGGTGATATAATGACCACAAGGCATGTGAAAGAGACTAAAAGCATGCTGAAAGCAGCGGAATTGAATTCATGTTCCTTGGATATTTTTTTTCTCTTGATTCTTTAAAGCTTTGTTTAGGGATGTATAATTTTGCATTAACCTGGAGCCCAGAGTGTCTTCAAAGCCAACCCTGAGTTGGTCATTTAATGTCCAGCAAATTGTGACATCTGGATCTGGGAACTGGAGAGATTAGCTGTTGTTTTTTTTTAAGTAGATCACTTGTTATCACAGAAACGCCTTCATGCTGGACTTCCTGTCCTGGCAGGTCGTGCTTTCACACGTGGGATTTGTCCACCAAAAAAAAGGGAGCTTTGAAAGAGCTGAGCATTTGTGGGGCCCGAAATGCATACTGCCACTACTTTTGTTGATTTGGCATTCACAGGGCTAGCCATTTAGAGGAAGAAAATTCAAGTGAAGCACTCCCACGTACTCCTGAGGCACTGAAGGCAATTTCCCTTCAGTCAAGTGGCTGAAACCCTCTTCAGCTGAACAACTTCCTGCATTTAGTCAGCACCCCCACTGACACCCTTGCTCCATCATCCCTGTGCTTAGCTGGCATCAGTCACAACCTCTCAGCACGTCTCCGCTCCTTCTAGAAAAGTGGCGAGGGGGCTACAACAACAGCTTTGGGGCTGTGAAATAAAAAATACACAGTCTGAGGCCCCAAAATGGGACTGTAGGTGTGCTTGTTTCCACATGACTTTTTATTTTTTTCAGAGATGATTATTTCTACCTGTGAGGACTGATTTACAGGTGGTGCTTTTGGGAAGACGGTTCGAAACTATGATTAGCATTAGATTAACTTCCTGACACTCCTTTCACAGGGTTAATATTTTATTCCCTGAGAGCAGTTTAGTGTCACAATATCGTTGCGATGGGACCTCTCAAAACACAAAGTCACATGGATTAAATATTCAATTGTTTTTTCTGTATCTTAAAATATGTAAAAGCTTTTTTTTCTTTTTTTATCATTTAACCAAAAGCTACCGACTAGTTCTTGTCAGTTTTAATTTCATTCACCTTCTTCACCAACATCTCCTTTAAGGTTTCAGAGTTAAGAAATCATTTTCGCCCACATTAATCATAATGATCTAATTCAATAATGCGCTTTTGCACAAAGGCCAGTTGTCCTCTCAGTATGTCAGGGTGACAATGATTTTGTCTTGGCCCATTATGACCGTTGCAGGGCCATAAGTAGGCTGAGGACTCCCACAGGAGATTTGGACATCCTGAGGGAGCCCATTAATCTATTATGCTCACCTCCTCTCCAGAGCAGAGTTACGGACAACAACAATTGCGTACGAGCTGGAGGCTGATCCACAGGAGGCCACAGCTGCCCGGAATGACCCGGCAGCCCGAGGGGCTGACCCACACCATTCCTGTGTGCCCCGCTCCCCTGATCGCATTCACAGAAGTACAGTCGTCAGGTCACGGGTTTTATATCGTCTGATTTGTAGGTATTGTTACAGTTTAGGGAGATGTCTCTGTGGCAATTGCCGATAAACATCCCGGCGAGTCATTTTCACACCCGAAAATGTTACATCTTAAAGCCGTCACCCGATTTTTTTGCCCGTGACATTTCTTTGTTTTAAGATTATGTTAAACCCAGAAAAGATTTTATTGTGTAGCCGGAACATATAGTTATGGCTCTGACCACAAGCATAATTAACAACTAAAACGCAGTTTCTCTTGCAGGCTATAATTAAATGTTCCTTTGTAACAGCTTATTAAGTAAAATATTTCAAGCAAAAGAAATCAGAACAATCAACATGATGATTTTATTCCAACCAAATGACAGCTTTGGCACATGCTCACCAACCAAAATTATTTTCACTTCTCCTTATTTTTGTCTTTGCAACGCTGCAGGTATGATGCCAAACAAGCACATCATCAGAAGGCATACTGGACAATAGAATAATTACCATAATCATGATTATTTTTCTTTGCATTTTAATTAGCACTATGAGGCCCAATTAAGCTTTTGAGTATGAGCGCCTATTCAGTAAACAGCTGTCCACCTGTCTTTTGGTTCCTGGGAAAAGACTGCAGCGCCCGTTCACGCCATAGCACCATCAACTAACTGGTTGGAAGGGGGGGGGGCTTCAGACAGGCTCATGAAGCCTGCACGGGGGCCTTTATGTGGGGTGATTAATTCTGCACAGCAGTAGGCAGGATATCAAGGTATGCAAACAGCTTGATTAGAAAATCTAAATCTCAACAAGAATACACGCATTAAACAGAGGGGAAATGGATAGTTTATTATGATTAACTGCAGAAAAATACACATTTCACCAAATGTGAGACACCCATTTTCTTGTTGAGACAAATAAAGAAAGAAATTCTTTGCACATTTATCAGTAATTGCCGTCCTATTAGAAAATAAAACAACCCTGTAAGTTGTTGGCTTTGCTGCTAGCCGTCACATTTCTAACTTGTTTCAGAACAAAAATTTGGATTGAAAGAGATTTTATTGACAAAATAAAACAAACGCATTAGATGAGGTCTGGGGTGTTACACAGGTCAGGCAGGACGAATGATGAAAACCTGTTTAAATGTCAAGTGAGTGGGGAAATTGTTGATGTGTATGATTCTGGTTAAGTTATGGAATGAGGTCATATTTTATCATTTCTACAGTTGCAGCTGCAGTTTCTTCACCGCTGACACATCGTTTGCATTTATTCATTCATTCATGCCTTCATACCACTGGTGAGAGACACTCAGTCTGTTTCTATTGTATAAACCGTCAGGGAAATGACCAAAATAAAAGTCAATCTGAATAATTCTCACAATTCTCACAACAAAAGTTACTTGTCAAAGAGGAAAAGTCACTTTTCCACCAACAGTGAAGCAAATGTGAGGATAGTGCATCATAAAATAGTGAGTTACTCATTCTTTAACCATCATTTCCCACAGTTTAGGTGTGGGAAACATCTCCTCTTTTTAACAAATTTGTTTCATGGCTGTTAATCCTGAGCTAAGGTTGTTATAGCTGTTGATGTGCAGAAAACTTTTGGACATCTACAGCGATGACTGCTTACAGCTTGATGTAAAAATATGATTGAAATCATTTAGAGGCATCTTTCTTATAAACACATGATGACATATTAGAATGTTATTGCATTGTTCAAGTTCTGTTTGAATCGTGACAGAGATGAGTGAGAGTGCTCTTTCTCCATGTTCTGTAATCTTTTTCTTTGTGGTTTTTGACTCTGGAATCCTTCCATATATCAGAATCTGCCAGCAATGAGTAGAGGGCCTTCTGGTAGACTTCAGGAGCATTAGTCATCTTCCATGCTGTTTGCAGGCCATTTCTTATTGGAAAAAAGCTTTTGTAAGCTCAGTCATCCAAAAAATGAAACTGGGAGGATTCTGGTGAGAGGCAAGCCCAATCTCTATTGGAGATTTCAACTCTCTCCACCATAATTGCCACAGTGATTAAGCCTTTAAGATGAAGGGACTAATGATGGCTGGTCCTCATCACAGCAGAGAATACATTGTACAGCTCCTTGTCACAAGCCTATATTTCATGAAATCAGATAAATCCTAAAACAGTCAAAAAGTGCAAACATTTTCCAAATCAGAACTGTTTGAAATGCATAAAGCAAACAATAGCAAACATTCTTTTGAACGCTTTATTTGGCAAAAAAAAAAATCCAATATTGTTTTTCAAAATACTAACTTTGTTTAAAAAAGCAGTGAATATAGCTATTGTACAGTCAATCTAGGCATATCTAAAAGTCTATCAATTTTTTTGCTAAAGGGCCAAACACTAAAATACATAACACACATTACTAAAGGGGGCATATCAATTCCACCAAATCATACACATGTTGAGCTTAAAAGAAAAAATGAATTATTAGGAGATAATAGATACTTAAAAAAAATACATTAGTAAGTTTTTGCATGGAGTTTCTTATGCAAATGAAAAGAAAACAACAGAATAAATGTTTAAATTTGAAAGATTTTGTAGCCAATAAAAATTCTCTGTCTTCCACTGAATCCAGTGGGAATAAGAACAGGTTTTTAGCTCTTAATGTTGTCTCTTTGGTCTAAAAACAGATTGTGTAACATCTTCATTTATGAGATCATTCTAAAGCATTTTTATGCAGACAGACCCATGAAGTCCCAGTGCAGCCTCACAGGCCTGTAACAGAGTACTGCAGCCTCAGATTGACCTCTGGTGGTTGAAGCTGTCAGTAATCTTAAAAGGTGATTTTGTTTTTCCAAATTGGGGAGTATGGAAAAAAAATGTACATGTAAAAAAAAACAGTTTAGCAGTTGCCATGAGAATAACGTGAGTATTTTCAATATTTCGGAGCATCTTTGCTCTCCAGTGCTAGGATGTTAAAATGTCAGTGCGTGTCCATTGCCCTGGTTTCCTGTGTTTTTTAACCGTTGAGTTTCTCGGACTCCTCTGTCCTCACAGTGGTCAGCTCCTCATGACTTTCCTCTTCTCCGGGCATCTGAGACAGAGAATGAAGAATTTCTAGACTTTCGTAACCTCATACAAACTTTCCTCCATTTTACCGGATTAAATACAGTCTAATTTTCTCCTTTCAATGTCCACATAGCCTTCACCTTTTTCATGTAATAATTTTTCTTGTTGTGGTTTGTCTCTACAGTTGAATTTACAAGTTTCTTCAGTATTTTACAATAATTTGTGAGGTGAAACTTGAGATGAGAATAAAAAATATGCTATAGTATTATTTTAAGATAATTTTCTGAGAAAAAAACTAAAATGCAGATTAATATTATTATTTTTAAATGTTTTAATATAAACTGAAGGCTGCATTCAGATTGTATGTGCTCCCCGACTAGTCAGACGATAATAATAATACAATTTAATCTGCCGTTTATAGCAAGTTTGATTAAACCTAAATGACGATAAGCAGTTTTTTGTTACACAGTCATCTGATTGAAAATTTGAATGATGCAAGCTCTAAGTTTCATAAAGGCCTGACGTCATCCATTCTTGGGTAATTAACCAGCCCTGTGTGCTGGTAAATTTACCCCACCTAGTGGTCATATAGCGCTATTGTGTGCATGGACTTGGATCACTCACACAACAGCTAGTGATACATGATGGTTGGTTCAATATCACCATCTTATGGCTGCTTAATCAAGCAGCCATAAGATGGAGATATAACTGGCCTATTGACAAATACAATCAGACTCACCTCCCAGTAGATGCCGTCTTCAAAACAGTGTGTGTCATTAGGAGAGCCGAAGACAGGCAGCTTCAGAATGAAACCTAAATAGAAGACAGGAACTTAAAGTTTGGTATTTCTACAGCAATCAGATATGAAGACATTTACTTTCTGATTTTCTGAGGATTATTGCTTTAAGATGCTTTAAGTTTATATTGATTTGACTTGAGGAAAAATGACATTATGAACACTTATAACTTTTACAGTTTTGTCCAAATACAAAATGGGTTTGTGAGGAGAGGCCATCCCACCAAAAGCTATTTAAAGACATCTTTAGATTATTTTCCCCTAAAAAGCTGTGAAGAATGTGACACGTACCAACAATAAGTCCCCCAAGCAGGGCAATGCCAAGGGTGACCGCAAGGGATATGGCCTGGACGCTGCCTTGGTACGATGCTGTTCTCTCTTCACTTGCCACAAGAGGAAACACGTCTTCCAGACTATGAGACACACGGGGTGAAAACATCAGGTCGACAAACCTTTTCATCGTCGTTATTAATTTTATGTGTGGTCATGGTTGATATTACATGACTAAGCTCAAAGTCCTACAGGATTTCACTACAAGTATCACAGTGTAACGAGCTAAACTGAACAGAGCAAGGGAGCAATTTATTCAAACTTGCAAATCTGATGATGTGAAAAGTTTCAGATCGTTTAAATCAAGTGAGAGCACAACTGAAAGGCTTTACCCGCCGCCATAAACATCTCTGGTTGCCACGGCAGACGTTACAGCTCCGACAATCGCCCCCAGGATACCGGGCATGCCGTGCAGATTGTGAACCCCACAGGTGTCCTGGATCTTCAGCTTTTCTTCCAGGACAGGCTGAGGGAGCGAAGCAGAAGATGAGATGTGGTCTGAAATTGAACTGCACTTACTTTAGCAGAAAACATACACTACAACTAAGTGTAGGAATGGCATCCCATTTGAATCAGTAAGTGTGCCCGAAACCCTACCTGGGTTTACACGTTTTAAAGTCCAGCTTATTTCCCAGAGCTTCAATTTTCAGGTGTTTGGTAAATTCCCAGATATAGGTGTATGTAATTCTAATAACCCTTACCGAGAGGTACTTGAATCCCAGTACAGAGATGATGCCAGCCAAGAAACCGACAATCATGGAGCCGAAAGGTGTCAGCATCATTTCGCCAGCGGTTCCCGCGGCAACTCCTCCGGCCAGGGCAGCATTCTGAATGTGGACCTAAAGCGTAGGCAGAAAACCATCAGAGCACATAGTTTCAGCATCTGTGACATGAATGTTTAGCGTTTATTTCGTTTTTTGGATAGTATTTTGAACCAAAATGTCTTTACTTTGTGCTGCAGAGTTCAAACTGATGACAAGTTCTTCATTGGGCAAAAGAAAACGCACCATTAAATGTTCTAATACAGCCGTTTCTTAGCGTGTCTACATTTTTTTAGAAGTATTTCTATCCACTTTGATCTTTTAGTCAATGTAAAACATGGGTCCATTTAATGTGGAGCTTTGTCACGCTGTTTCAGCGTTGAGACGTTCTGAAACAGAACTGTTTTAACCTACTTTTTAATTGTCGTGGTATTAACTTCTTTATGAGTGCTGTTCTCTTGGAAGGTTGAGGTGGCTGTGACATTACTGGGTTTCAGGTTCCTGATGGAGCAGGTGACCACTTTCTCATTTGCTCTGCAGCAGCTGTTGAACAGTTTTGTAACATTTGCTTTCACGCCGCGTGGAAACAACAAGTGGAGCGCTTTAGATGCCAAACGATTCCTTCAGGAGATTAGCTTGTCGTCGCCATCGACAGGCTGTGCGGCGTGTGTACTGTGTGTGTCGTGTCCCTGCTCTGAATAAGATGCTCTCTTAGCCCTGATTACTATCAGTGTTGACACTCCTTCTCGGTCACAAGACTGTGCACCTGCCTGATCTCACAGAATGTGAAATAACATTGCTGGTGAGGGTGTGTGACAGCAACCGTCCATGTGACTCACAATCAATTTGTACTTTTTTAGGAAGGTGCGTGCATTTAATTGATAAGCAAGTTATCTTTTATCTCATGTGTTCTCATCACTGATGATCTGAGTTTGTCCGATTCTTGAAATTTATTTCTTTATGGGGGTTTTTTGTGTGTGTTTTTTTTAATAAGCACTGCATTTTGAATAAGTCTCTACATTTTACGGCTGGATTGACGAGGCGGTAAGCTCACCATGTCCAGCTTGCCGTCGTGAGCTGTGAGTGCGGACATGCCGAATGTGGACAGTGTGCAGGCTGCCAGGGAGTAGTAGGTGTTCATGGCTGTGCGGTGCTGGTCGTCTCCATGCTCTGTAATGGCCGAGTTGAAGCTGGGCCAGAACATCCACAGGTAGATGGCCCCTATGTAGAAGGAAAACAAAGAAGGGACCATGTCAAGGATGTATTTTTATAGATATTCAAACTACTTAAAAAGTCACTCCTCATGTTATTCTTTTGCTCATTTCTGACTTGGGTTAGGGTTAGGGTTAGGGTTATGGTTAGGGTTATGTTAGGCTGAAAGTTGTCTTGATATCTTCAGCATTTCACATTGATTACCGATCATTGCGAACAGGTCAGAGTGGTAGACAGAGCAGTTCTTGTGTTTGCTCTTTTCAAGGGTTGGCCGGTACAAGACACGCGTCACCATCAGGCCGAAGTAGGCTCCAAAGGTATGGATGGTCATAGAGCCTCCAGCATCCTTGGTCTGAAACAGATCAAAGCATAGTTCAAATCACTGTCACAGATACAGTAGTGTGTATGGATGTTTTGTTATGGTTTACAAAATAAATTTTTGAAGCATTTAATACCAAGACTTTCCTCTTTTTTATCAGGGATTGTGACACTATCTATACATAAAGCTTTACAATTTAAAACCGGTTGTAGGAATATTGCAGAAACTCACTCCAAGGAGAGTCAGCAAGATGTACTCATTGACAGCAAAGAGTGTGACCTCAAATATGGCCATAATCAGCAGCTGGACGGGGCTGGTTTTACCCAGCACAGCTCCAAATGAAATGAGCACAGAGCCGGTGCAAAAGTCAGCATTGATCATACTGAAAAGCAGAAACAGAGTTTAACACCATATTTCATATATCAACACATATCCTAAATGTCCTAACTCATGCACCCATGTGCTGGATAGAGATCATATATAAAGTTATTATTTAGTATTGTATTACCCATTTACCTCAGTATACTGTTCACTAATACTTCTTAGAGTGTGACCTTAAGAGTCAGGAACTAATGTAAGAATTTCTATGTTGGTAAATTCTTGATTATATGTTTATTAGATACCTCTCCACCCCAATGTGGATCTTGCCCCCGTGCATGCCATGGAAGAAGCCTTGCATGAGCGTGGCCCACTGCAGGGCAAAGGCAGCAATCAGGAAGTTGAAGCCCACGCTGCCAAAGCCGTAACGCTGCAGGAAGGTCATGAGGAAGCCGAAACCAATGAAGATCATCACATGCACATCTTGAAAACCTGTGCAAAAGATTGGATAAGATTGTTGTTTGAACAGTGTAATAGAAAAATCTATTTTGTTGCTGTCCAGCATGTCTCTGTAAAACCAGATCTACAAAAACATCAATAGAAACACTATTTGATTTAATTTACCTCCTGTGATTTTTCAATGTTACAAATGAATCTTTTATGGTTAAAATTGACTGTGACTGAATTTCACATGCGTTATGGGGTCAGTGCTTTGACTCATCCCTAAGAGTTGTCCTTCACATTTCTCTGTCACAGTCAGGAGTCATTTCACTTCAGGACTTTGTTATTGAAAACATTTTTTTTCCTAGAATATGCAGCTGCATAAGCTTTGGAAGACTGGAACATCAGGTTCAGCTGTAACTCAAGACCAGTGTAGTATGACTCTTGTTCAGTGGTTAGGATCAAACTAATCCAAGCATGCAAACTCATTGTTTGCGATACTCTAAAAGTTTACTTAATACCTAAATACAGAAACATATATATATATACATGTGAAAGTACATTAGCATCAATTTTGGATCTGAACTCTTTGACCCTGCAGGCTTATGTTTTTTCTGCCCTCTTTCTCTAATTTTTCTCAGTTTGTGAGCATTGCTTATTAAATGTCCCAAACAGCAAGACACAGTATTAGGCTGTACCCATTGCCATGGTAACAGTTAATTGGCATGGCTATGCAGACGGCTTGCTAGCCTCCCTGTTGGCATTTTGGCCTAGTTACGTGCAATTCCCAGAGGTTCTGCTCAACCATTCCTTTCAAAGGAATGAAGGGCCCTAGAAAAACAGCCAGAACTTTAATCACATTTCTATAATGACATAGGTAGTTAATATTATGAATATGGCTAATGAACACAGGCATACTAAAATAGGAGTGCTGTGAGTTTGGGGTAAATTGAATCAGGCTGAAAAAAATTCTTAACAAGTACTTAAAGATAGTTTTTTAGTTCTTAAGTGGTTAATTTTAAAGTGGTAAGCACAAGTTCAAAACTACCCTACGACATCTGTTATTACCCACAGAAACGCTACAAGATGAATTGACAATGAACACCTTACAAAAGAATGTGGCTTTGGAGACTTAGACAAGATCTGTGAGCACGCCAGCGTCTTTCGTCACATGACAGCTTCGATCACCTTCGGGTGATTTGTTGTGCAAGAGGGAGACTTGTGAGACACATTTCTCTGAACGACCTGTCCTTATTTCACAGGAACATGTAGCACCAGCAGCACTAAAATATGAGAAGTGTAAACTTGTCCGTTGTATTTTTCTTCAAGGTGCGTGGTGAGGATAGAGGATGTAGCTTTAGTATAAACATCCCTGGGACATGAAGGTGAACGTCCTTTCCAACTCCCATGGCAGCAATGGTATCGGGTTAAACATTATCTTTCTTTACGGACGCAAGATGACTTTCACAATCTTCTTGCCTTCTTTTAATCTCCAATGTTCTGAGCACTTCAAAGACAATTTACCATTTGTTCAAAGACTAAAAACCTCTATCTGTGTGCAAAAGTCAAATTTGCATTGGGGCGACTGGAAATGCTGGACTTTGAGATGAGTTACTGCAGATCATGGCTCATGTTTTTAGAGGCATTTAGAGGACAAACATGTGAAGTAATTTATATTTTAAGTGCCAGTTAATTAAGTCAAATGATGTTAATTATTTCCATGAGTAAGGTCCTCACTGAAGGATAAAGAGGAAAGCCTGAGAGCTTTCAGCCATGCTAGTAAAATCTCTATGAAACTGGACTTTGGCATCATGAAATGTTGGCAACAGCATGCAAACATGGAAAGACTGCACTCTTCCTATTTCAGCATGTAAGCAGCCTTTGCTAACTGAGAATCAACATAAGTTTTGCTGCAAAGAGAAAGGAGTTTCTAAAATAAAAAATAAAAAAATTCCCTTATTTAGTTTTTCTTCAGGCTTCTGTCTGTTGAAATCATTCTTACTTTAGGTCAGAGATGAAAACTACTTGATCAGGGTTAGGAAATACTGTTTCCTTGTTAATGTAGGGAAGCTGCCAACAGGGGCTTGACTTGAAAATATTTTCCCCTTTAATGCTGTGTTATCACACATAATTGTACTTCAAGCTGAAACAAATGACTCATAATTTTGTGTTTTAACCTTGGTGTATCATTACTGCATACACAGAATATTTCAATTGACTAATTGTACAGTAGTTAAGATTTACTGTATTTGAACCAGAGGCAGCACAACTTTAAGGCTGAGTTGTAGAACTCAGTATTTTCTGGGATGAGCACTCACCACATGTATACTAGTTATAAAGGTTTTACGGTTTATAATTTTCTAAAGAGATCTTTCAAAACCTCAGCAAACAATTCTGTAAGGTTCTCCTTGAAAAATACCTTTGAAATACCTTTTACTAAGAGGTAATTAGCTCTGTAACTGAAGAAAAAGGCCGATTTGATAGTACAGTTACCAGCCTGCAGCACGAAGCTGATAAGTTCAAGATTCATAGATTGTTAAGTGAGGAGATAGATTTCTTTAAGTTCCCATGATTCCCAGCTCCGCCTCAGACCACTGCCCCCCCCCCTCCTCCTCCTCCTCCCCACCCGCCTGAGGGAGAGGCCTACAGGTAAACTGTTAACAGTGTTCTACTTGTTGGGAGGTGCCATCAAGCCTGCTGTCCAACAGTTTCAGGTTGTTAAGGTGGAGCTGAGGGTTTCAGGAGTTTGCAGAGAATGGACCATTTTTGCCATAAATGCATGTGGAAAAGGTTTTTGCTCTGAAAAACCGCGCAGCTCCGGATGCCTTGCTGTGATACTACACTCTCGGATTATGAAAACAATAAATCAAATAAATAAACAGGATGCTTGATAATTGACTGCATTGTGTTATAACAGCATCAACGTGCTTAGAAAGGCGTCTGACGTGTTCGCTGAGGCAGAAATTTGCCAAGAACATATACATAATTCTGCTCTTTTAGTTTTGTGTGTAATCAGCGAGAATGCATAATTAGGTTTTGCATAAATGGCGTAATGAGCACGGCAGCGAGTTTTATCTCAACACCGTCAGTTTAAATAAGTCAGGAAATCATTGATGAGAGAGACCAATGTTTCTATAGGGCATCATTGGACTGGAAGACATCACTGTGAAGGGTGCGCCGACAAAGACTATGGCGGGTCCAATTAGGGAATAGAGTGCTGTTGTGATGCACTCAGCAGCTTGTTGTATCTTGCACAAAATCACGCACTGTGCCAAAAGAGTGCAACAAGTTTAAGGGGGAAAAAAAGGAAAAAGCCTGCATGCAAAGATGTTAGAAACACAGGTGAGACATAAAAAGCTCTCAGTAATATTGTTGCATGGCTCACTCAGCTCTCAGTGAGTAAGGCATGCAATGTTACTACCGTAATATTAATATATCAGGATGCAGTGCCTCTTTGTTTATGAGGTATGTATGGTTTTCTTTTCAAGGTGAAAACTCATAAATGTGTCTTCGTGCTTAAAAATAATCCTCATCTAAGAAATTCTGGGTGGATACTGTCTTTGGAATATAAGTTCTATGACTTTCAGTGACTTATGTTCAGTTCATTTGCTGTAAAACAAAACAAGTTTTCTGCAAAATGCTAGCAAAAATCAGAGATCAATTTGTATCAATATCAAGTTGTTAATGACACAGTTTTTAAAAAACTCTTACATTTTTTGTGCACAGTTGCACATCTGTTATTGCCACTGGTTGTAATCCTGACATTCACAACAATGCTATGAAAATGTGACTAAGAATGAGGGCATCTTGACCCCTGATCCACAGAGCACTCACTTGGATAGCGGTAGTAGAAGTCATTCTCATAGTCAGAGTGGCCGTGGGTCCCATTGCCATGTTCGTGCCACTTTCTTGCATCAGTGTCATGGTCGTACTCCACCAGCACACCAAAGAGGATGATGAGGATGATCTCCAAGATGAAGCAGGTGATTGGCAGCTTCAGCCGCATGTTGGTTGCGTCTGTCATGGTTTCTGCTCAGTTAGAAGAGGACGGGAGGCTTGCTGAGGTTTGTTCCTGTTGAAAGGTCCAGCACAAAAACTTGTCTCTCTCCCACAGCCACTGGGGTGTCCTGAATGCAGGCTGGTGTGTGTGTGTGTGTGTGAGGGGGTGGAAGACACGCACAAACAAACACAAGTGCTTCTCTTACATGTGCATTTTTGTTCTGCTGGGTCACACCTACTGTGCCTGAGAGGGAAGAGTCTCGGTTAGTCCCACCCCATCCTACTCTACCTCTTAAGGTAGACCTAAAGACTTTAGCTCAATTGACACATTAAGATTAATTGGTTTAGTAAAGGCTTTTGACCAAAAGGACTTAGGAAGAAGAAATTAAATGACCAATTGTGTTGATTTGGAAAAGTAATTATGATGAGCAGTGCAAGTGTCAAGAAGTATATAAAAGGAATACATGATGAATTCTTATTTTACTAGTACTAGATTTAAAGTGTACAGTTACTTTATAGATGTGGGTGGACAAAATTCCACCCAGTTTCCATAAATAAAAAGGATCCCGATGAGATTACGTGAAGGATATTTCTCCAATAACTATATATATTGTGGATTCATGCAAAGTATATCTTTATTCGAGTCTGACTCAATGGAATGTAAGGTATTTCCTTTTTTTTTTGCTGTCCTCATGTTGCAGTGTTGAGCTTTTATTCAGCGTTGGCGGTTTATGTGAATGCAACAGGCATCGCTCTCATGTACACAAAAGTGCCAAAACTGGCATTAGATACTGTAGAGTTATATAAAGAGTGTTATATATGGTCGTATTAAAATATGTCACCATTGTGAATGTTGTGTTAATTGCATGGTGCTTATTGATAGTATAATTATCTTTAGTAATCGAAGTTTGTTGCTTCAGAATGATCATGCCATGACCCTAAACGAAGGGTGGAGGAGAAACTAAATGAATGAAAGAAATACATAAAGGAAGAAAGAACTAAGACTTCAGGCAAAACAACAGCCAGTGAACATGTCTGTACAATACAGACTAACTCAAAGGCAGAGTAGGACACTAATGAGAAACATTAGTATCTATGCTGAGAGACAGGGTGACTAATATGGAACCAGTGTAGCAATGAGCATATGCAGGCAGCAAGCCCAACAGCAACAGAAAAAGGAAGTATGTTCTGGGTAAATGTTGAACTATAAACATATTAACAACAAGCATAGACAAACCATAGATGTTACCAGAACATGATATGAATACAGTAAACCAATGCAACAAAAACTGGTAAAGTCATTCAAAATAAATCAAATTCTACAGTTATTCATGATTTCAGTTTCTTCAAAATCCACGACGATAAGAATCGCAAGCAGTCGTAGTTGCTCGCCCATTAGAAGCATATTTACAGTGGGCAAAAGCTGAAACCACACCAGCACACAGACCATTGACGGCTGTTAGACAAACAGGATGTGGGAGGTTTCTTTGAAGAGTGGGTACAAGATGATTAGGCGTTAGAAGCTCAATGACTACATGCTGTGGGCTGGGTTGAGAGCCGGGATACTTCGCTACGTCCCCTCTCCTCCCCCTGCTATAAGTTATCATGAAAGCTGCCTCTCACATCGGTATCTGTGTCCCTCATCAGCAGAGGACGCCTTTCTCAAGAAAGGTGAAGGAACCGAAAAGAATGTTGTTATTGTTTGAAAGAATTCAAACTATCGCCCCTTGAGGCTGCAGATGGCAAAGAGAAGCAATGAACTTAGCATTGACAAAGAAAGAGCCACTATGCCCTTTCAGCGTCCTGTTCATCCAGCTTCCTGTCACCTAGTCTCACAGTTTCTCAACTAATTGAGGGCTTGGTGTTCTAGAATACAAAAGTTTGGGTACAAAATGTGTAGAAAACATGTTTTGAAGCTATAATGATAGCAAAAGTATTCTACGTGCCATTTAGTTCCAGGGCTGTGTGCGATTAAAAGGGTTAAAGTTAATCATTTACTGGCTGACTGATTAACTGCCACTGAACAAATTTTTAATTCACAAAAATGAAAAAAACAAACAAATGTGGAATGGATTTTCTTGAGATTTCAAGATAAAAAATTCAAAAAGTCATTCTTAGAGCCGTCTTCTTCTGAAAAACTGGGATTTATACTCACCACCACTTGATGGTGACATAACTGGACACCAAGGAGTTCCCTGACAGCTAAGTCAAATCTTCAGCTATCACCTCTGGCAGAATTTCATTTGGATTACACTGAAGAAGGAATTCTCCTGAGCTTGGTTAGTTTTTCTGGGGGGAAACTAACAGGCATCGGTACGCCCAAATGAATGTGCCTTGGGCAGCTGATCTCTGGTAAAGTTTCCAGATGTATCAGGTGAGGGAACGGTTGCTTTACTAATTGAAAATTGAAAAATGGCTGGTCCAAGCAACCACTTAACTTTGTGTGTAAAATGATGGCTGGCTCTTCTCTGCATGCTGCAGGATCCTGATGGGAACAGGACGTGAACTGGTTAAACATCCAGCTGGCTTGCTGTGGGAAGCTCAGTTACAGCACACTGCAAATAAAGAAAAAAGTTTCCTCAGCACAGAGACGAGTTAGCTTAACGGGCATTTTGCTGCCGTTTGAACTATTTTATTTTCGTATGCGCCTCAATTTCATGGTCAAAGAAATCTTCCAGCCTGATGCCTCTGTAAGGGCACTGTGAATAATCAGGAATAAATCTGATCAGTCCTCATGTGTTTTGTAGACTGAGAACACACAAAAGCTTCACATGTAGTGTCCTGTGTGAGGTCTTTGGGAGTCTAAGCCCTCTATCATATTTTTGGCTGTCTATTTCCTTCAAAGTTCAGACATCTGTATATGGAGGAAATCTGAATGTCTCTTAACTGTAAGAAATAAAACGAATAAAGTGCCTCAGACCAAAGTCTTTATAGACCGATACATCAGACTGTCCTTTGTTTTTTTGCTTTGGAGTGCTTGAACAGCAGGATGACCAAAGGCTAAAGGGTAACCACTTAGGGGGGAAAAAATCTCTGCGAAAAACTGAGAAATGGTGATTGAAAGTGTTTTGGATTTTATTCAGTGAACTGTATCATAGCAAATAAAGATGAGCGCGTGTGTAAATTAAAGAACTGCAAGTTTATCTAAGAAAATGTGACGTGTCAGTACAAATGAAGTGAAAGCTCGAGGACAACGAGCTGCTTGACATCTGATGTTCCCTCCCGTCCCACCACAGACGCACACCGGCATCACACTAAAGTCCACAAAATGTGCAATGACCAGCTGACTGAAAAAGTTACAGAGCTTCTAGTACAGAACATGTTTTTTTGATTACATGCCAAGGGTTTCTGTCATTCCAGAGAGCACTCAGCTGAAGAGACCTGTGACAGACACCTGACGCCTTTCTGGAGTCTCGTGCTTTCAAATATGTGGCATCCCTGTGATTATGGCATTCAAGTAAGATTGCAGTTAACAGTTGTTTGAATGCTTTAGATTCTATGTGAGTGTTGGCTTCCTTCCTCTTTGTTGCACGTGTTGGTGCCCCTATGTGATGCTTAAAAGATTCCTTTTGTCACAAATAAGTAGAAATCATTATCATTGGGCCACAAATAATGTGTGAGCATGTGTGGTCGTTTGCCTCTGTGTGGCCACACAGGTTATGGTGGCCTGTTCAGGTTACATGTCCCACCTTTTGACCGATATCAAATGGGATCATCTCGAGGCCTCCCGCAACCCTGAACTGGATTTACTGGGTATATAAAATGGAAAAATAATCCAATGATAAACAGAAGTTTTCGAGTCAAACTTCCCAATAACCCAAAATGTTTTAGTCCAGAATCAGAACATCTGGATGATTCATGAAAACGCTTCACTGTTTCATTTCCTCAGGATCAAACAGAGAGCCGATCCAAGTGAAAGCATTTATTCACTTTTTGAGTCGATTTGAAAAGAATGTTAAACCAATGATAACTGTAAAGCAAAAATCGCAGTTCTGCATCATCTCCATCAAAGGTCACGTTAACTTTTATTCTTTCTTTTTAAGTACATCATGTGACTCTTAATAGACGAGCAAAAAAAAACAAAGGTCTATGTGTCAATGCCACACGTTTTTTTGTGTGTAGTAGTAGGTGGTGCTTCTTGTTCCTTTATCAGTGCAGGTTGCTGGCTCCAGGGCCCGACTGATAATGTAATCTCATAATCAGAGGCAGGAAGGCAGCAATAGTAACATAGGCCCAAAGGAGCCTGGCCCCAGATCAAAAACGATAAATGCAAGACTAAACTTGCCGGTTATATAACACAAAGATAATATACATTGGAAGGCGAGTTCTTTACACCAAACTTGCTAATGCGTTCAGTCATTATAGCACATTATGGATGTTTCACACATGGTTAAAATACAATGTATCTGCCTTTATGTTTGTGGTGTTACAATCAATCTTTAAAAAAGGGAACATCTGTCTGCAAATCAAACAACCATAAGAGAAAATTTTAAATTTTTACTAAAATGAAATAACAAAACATTTTAAACCACTGGAAATGTTTTTGTATTGTCCAACAGTTAATGAAATATAACTGATCTGAACTTATTTTCATTACGTTGCAACATTTGACATGTTGCATAAATAATTTAATAAAATTATATTATCTCATGTAAAATCTATAAATTAAATCAATTTCTGGATGATAATTTAAATTTTTATGAAGAAATACACACAGACACACACTGTTTTCTGCTGTAGCTTCTAACTGACAAGGAAACAAAGTGGAGAAGCTCCAGGCTAAACAGAGTACAACAGGTATGGGAATGTCGAGTTATCTCTTTTCTCCTGTTTGTCTTCTCAGATCTTAATCTGACTGCATGACTCTTCACCACGTGTTACACAACCAACGCAGCTGGTAAGCGATAGGTCGAAGAACGTGTCAGTAAATCACTCCATCTCAGGACAATAGGTCAAAATACTTCTCTTTATTTGTCTAGATATGTGGTTATGCACAACTAATCAGTTTAAAGACTTTCATAAAATTGTACATATTCAAAATTTCAACATGGAATAAAAGAGAGGAATAGTATTCAGATGCATGTGTGGACTTATGTCTCAATTTAGTATTCATAACTCCTTTCCTTAAAAGTCTTGTTTCACATCTTTTGAAATTGTAATTAGCCTACAGTGTATTTATGTCAACGGAAAATCATGATGAGAACCTTAATGAACGAGCAAATAGCTAGTTTTCTTGTACCTTTTATACACACAATGTTCACCTTTAAAATGGTTTAAAAACCTTTTAAATGTTTTTTATGCCTTGTTTTGTGTTTCTTCAACCTGAAGACAAAAAAACTTTTAAAACTAAAAGTTCAGCCCGAGTGTCTTCTGCTTTTATTCAGGTTCTCACTTTTCAAAGCCAACTTAACAAATACTGTATCTGTCCTCCTGATGCATTCAATCACCCCGGGTCACATGCTGCCTCGTTTGCCTCGTTCACCGTTCACCGCTTAAGATAAGCTCACTGTCAAAATCCAAGCCCATTTAGGCTTTCAGACCCTGCTAAAGGTATGCAAAGACGATAAAGATGCCCACATTTTTGTTTTGGAGAAAGAAGGAGGTATACAAAGCCTTCAGTCAGGCAGACCCCTAAACTGCCAGTGGTGATCTGCAAGAGAGGGGAATCAGTCACTGCACTTGAAAACTGTCACTCTCCAGTTTGGGGTTCATGAGCTGGGGCATTTGTAAGAATGTTAAAAATGTTTCAGGGTTTGAGTGTTTTTACAGGTGAAAGAGGGTAGAAACCAGAGTGGTGGAAATGTTGTCGGAAAGCGCATACCTTTACTCCCGTTGCACTTTCATGACCCCTCCGCATGTCACAGGGTCTGTCAACATGGTTACGCGCCACTGCCGCCATCACACCTACTGATACTACATCAGGGCTGCAGGCGGGTGGACCTGCTCTTATATCGGCCTCCCGCATCAGGTGCAGACAGACGGGAGGGACACTCAGTCGTCCAGCAAACTTAATACAAATTATATCTACTGTGTTTCTGCTGTAAAGAAAAGGTTTCCCTTGTTCGCAAAAACGTTCTCACTGTCTCGATATGATGAGTGATCAGAGCCCGAGTGAGTGATTCCGGTCCCACAATTATCCCAGTATCTCCTGTATCTCAAGAGTAAACTGCAGGGCGCCAGAGGCATCAATCAAGTAGAAATGAAGTGTCATGGAGTCAAAGGGAGCGTTTACCTGCAGGCTGGAATATGTTTCTGAGAACTTCCAACAGCTGCAGAGAGCTGAGAGATGGGAAATGAGTCAAACTGGGAGACCCGGTGTCAATGAGAAACTCCCAGATGAGTGATCTCCTTTAAAAAGAAATGTATACACTTTGGGTAATTCGTGCATATACAGTTTTTACCTGAAGAAACGTGAGTGAGTCAAACATTTAAAGGAGTTAATAGAAATATCACTTCATGGAAATCTGGGAAAATTGTGTAATTTTGAATAGCTGTTTGTCTGAGAAGTGAACAGAAGAGGGCAATGTTTCTTCTCATTATTCACAAACAGTTGAACTAATACAGAATGCAAGTACAGCAGAACAGATGGAAGAGGTGATAAAAAAGACTACAGCAGCTGGGAAAAAACAAAAAATAGAAAGCTGAAATCAAGAGGATTAGAAGTACATAAAAAAATTGAATGGAAGAACATTTATGAACCATTTTGTTAATTTTGCTTCTCAGAAGTTTGAAATGTGAACTGTGTGAACATAAAATTGTCATCAGTCTCATGGGCTGGTCAGTGTGTTCAAAGATTATGAGAGTCAGTGCAAAACTAAATAGATGTTCATGCAACACTTGCTGGGCTGTTTATCTCAGAAAAACTAATACTAACTGTCAAAGTGATTAAACTGCTGTCTCAGCAAACCAATAGACAGTTTGCATTACAGTTCATACTAGCTGCTGAGACAGATCCTAAAAGATAAATAAATATGTACAGTGGTGAGTATTATTAGAATTACTCATGAGAGGAGCATGTCAAAGAAAAACTTCCAGCTCAAACATAAGATGTATGTTCTGGCATCTATAGAAAGTCCTTCAGGGACAGTTGGTTGTTGTTACCTAGAGGTGTTTGTTTGAATACTAATTAGAGAGACAGAAAGACTCCCATTGATGATCGAGCACAATGGGGGAAGTAACACAAGCAAAAACAGAAGAATCCTATCATCGCATCTTTTTTCCACATTGGATGGTGTTTGTTTGTTCACCGCCTGCTGTCACTGCATGGAGACCGTCAACCTCACAAAGCCGCCCTTGTGTCTGGGAGCCATGGGGGCAGAGGGAGCTGCATTCAACCCAGCATCCTCTCCCACTGACCCGGGAGCCGTGTGTGCAACAACAAAGATGGCTGAAAGCATACTATAGTGCTCTTGGCACAGCCTAAAGGTTAGAAAACACTGACAGGCTTGTTGTCTGAGGCCTCATCACTGTACACGCTGGATGGTACAATGCTGTTCGGCAGCAGGAGCAGATAAAGCATTAGCACATGGATTTCAGATACAGCGAGAACCAATTTTACTCCTCATTTTTAAATCCCCTGAATTTGAGTTCAACCAAAACTACTGTTTTTTTTAAGACTGTAAATGTGCAGCTGTGTAAATTTGCTCTGTGTTTGAACAATGACAAAAAAGCAGCAGAGGATGACAGGGTTTGTTTCAATCTCCTTCAGCTTATTTTTCCCTGGTCACTCATCTCTTACTAACTACTTGTCTTCCAACTTTCCTTTTGTCTCACTTTTAATCAACACAAACAGGAAAAGAGAAAACAAAGCCCGGGACTGTCAGACTTTCAAAAGGTCATTAACATCTGGAGCGCCGAGGACAACAGTCCTGCTGATCACAGGGAGGACCTTATGACCAGAGTGAGGACAGAGGGAGGTGAGAATGAAGGATAGATTACAACGGGACACTCAGAGCTCATTCAGAGGACCCAGCTGAGTTTAAGAGTGGAGATGAGTAAAATCATGAATCATCCTGGAAATTCCTGATCGGATGCTAACAGAAAACGGGGTCGTCATGTCTGGAAGCACAGGAGGATGACCGGACAGCCTCATCTCATATGCACAGGTCTGTCCATTTAAAGCATGAAAAGTAAAGTTTTAAATTTGATTTATAACTGTTTCTTCTGACTGAAAGCTTCACTCACTGAAAATAACCGGTGAAGGATTGGGAGTGTACGGTTGGTCTTGTGTACCTCAGACTATCTGTCATGTTGGTTTGAATGATTTCAGGAGCAGGAAAAATGACACCTTCATGGTCCTCCATGGGGAACTGGGCAGTGACCCTGTGGTTTTTATCGGGCTGCTTCACCTGCTCTGCAGCTATTTATACCAACAACAGACCAGGTAGAGTCCACACAGTGGCTTGAAAGGTTAACTTCAGCTGTAAGCTTTCCTGTTTACATTTTAGAACACGACAAGCCTACAGTGTGACATGTCTTACTCGCCTCATCATGACACATAAGCATGTTTTCTGAACTAGTTAACTATCAGTTTCTTAGACAATAACAAATTAAAGGAGCAACAGAACCTATAGTGAAAGGAGATGCTAATTTATTTCACTACCTCAAGAAAAAAGTTATTTTATTTCCTTCCTTTACAAAAGAACCAGTTATGAAGGCCGTTCGATAGTGCTGCTCAACACAGTAATGTTCTGTATAATGTGACCGAGCCTGTCTAATGGTAACAGAGTGGCATTATCACCACAGCGCCCGCAGAACCCATGAAGCTGCAGTATCTTCTGGAGCCGCCTGTGTATGCAGAGGTTTCTGGACGAAGGGGAGACAACGTCACCTTGCCGTGTATCCTCAAAACCAAACCCAACCACTACAAGATTAAGTGGACAAAGCTGGAGCCGGACCGCGTCGGACATGAAAACATTGTCATGATATCAAACGCAAAAGACTTCAAGCCTTACGGCCACCTTGGAAAGCGGGCCTCTCTACGCGGGGCTCACGCCATGGACGCTTCCTTGCAGATAAGTAGTCTTGAGCTGGAGGATGGCGGCACCTATCGCTGTGAGCTGATTAATGGAATAGAGGATGAGAACGTGCGCATCGCTTTGAGGATTGAAGGCAAGTAAAGCAACTTCTTTTATAACAGTTTGATTTTCATTTGTCTACAGTTTGTAGTGCGCAAAATGTGAAAATTGAAGGGAAAATAAATGACAAAAGTGGTGTTCCCAGGTGTGGTCTTCCCTTATCAGAGTAAAAATGGCCGCTACAAGCTCACTTTCCATGAGGCCAAGCAGATCTGTACTGAGCAGGATAGCACACTAGCCACTTACGGCCAACTCTACAGAGGTACCACACATCACGGACAACATCGCTTTATGTTCAGTGAATCCTGTTTGTTCCGGTTTAAATTGTTCAGCCATCTCACTCAAACCTTCTCTTCCTGGAGCCTGGACCGAGGGCCTGGACTGGTGCAACGCAGGCTGGCTTCATGATGGAACTGTTCAATACCCCATCATTCTTCCACGGCCCGTGTGTGGGGGTCAGGTGCTCCCAGGCATTCGCAGTTATGGGCCGAAAGACAAGGATCATGATCGATTTGATGCTTTCTGCTTTACGTCCCAGACACCCGGTAAGCTTGGAGGAGAACCTCCCAACAGTGGCATATCTGTGTGTGTTCCCTCCGTGTATGTATGGATTCACCTAAACACATATACGTTAGCTAGTTAACAGGTTAACTGGTGAGTCAACATTGACCCTACAAGTGAGCATGCATGATTGATTGTCTTATTTTTCTCTGTGTGGTCTTGTGATATGTTCAGGGTGTACCCTGTTTCTCACCAAGTGACATCTGGGATAGGCTGGGATGGTGAATCACATAAATTAGTAAATGCCATCCATTGAAACCAAATGAGATTGTCTCAAAAACACATACATAATTTCAACACAGTTCTTCTCTCTACACGATTAGAAAATTCCCAGATTCCTGGAAATTTATTACCAACTTGATTTTCACGCTACTTCTTGGAAAGTCAAGCGGTTTGGGGTTTGATGCTGTGATCGTGTGTGAATGTGAGCTCTGCAACAGGTTGACCCTCAGTTGATCTTGCATGAGAGTAAGTAGGCTGACAGAGGCTGTTCTGGCATGGAAAGTTATTTATCATTGGGAGACACCTGGCCTGGAAACTTTCATTACAGCCAACAGAAATCTGAAAAATGAGTCTGAACTGTCAAAGAAAACAGTTTAAACAGATAAGATCTGTCTGAGTGTGTTCTCCCTCCTCCTGTCGCAGGCTCCGTCTTCTACATTTCGGGATCTTTCACCTTCGATCAGGCCGCGCGTGCTTGCCAAAGTCAGAAATCCGACATGGCTCTGGTTGGGCAGCTGTATGCCGCCTGGCACTTCCAGAATTATGATCAGTGCGACGGCGGTTGGCTGAAAGATGGAAGTGTGCGCTTTCCCATCAGCAACCCCAGGAAGCGCTGTGGAGGCATCCCAGAGGCAGGCGTGCGCTCGTTCGGATTCCCCAACAAGACCACACATCTGTACGGGGCCTACTGCTATCGGTAGCCAAAACAACCTCAGATCAGTCAAGCAGAACCATTTACAAAAGCGCCAAAACCCCGAAAGACTATGTGAACATTGTTGATTAAATTCTATGTAATTTAGTGCAGGGAGGAAAAAAAGATTAGTGTAATCCTGCAGCTACAAAGAACAGCATTTCTGAACCTTTTTAACCTCCGAAAGAATACAGAGACGTTTGTGTTCCTCCTTTCTCTCTCTGTTATCAGGCTTCGTGGGTTACAAGCCAAACACTTGTTCGAATTTTGATGCAAACATGATGCGGACAAAGAATAATTGTCAGAAAAACAAACAAGAAATTCATCTGGAAAACAACTGTCAGCTGCTTTGACAGGAACTATTTTGTAACTGTTGGGATCAACGGGAAAATGTGGATGTTTGAACATAGCACACAACACAATCATCTTCCACTTAACTTGTAACGGCTTAATGAGAAATGTGTAAACCCACCTGTGTGTCTCTTTAATGTGACTATTACTTGCTAACTCATTCCAAACAGCCAAAACCTAACTTACCTTTCTGTTTATTAATGGTATGGAAATAAATCTGTTCAGTAAAGACGTCTAAACATCTGTTTTTTAATTCCATTATTTAACTGAAGTTTTGGAAAAAGAAAGAAATCCCACACAACTACTAGGAAAACTTGGTTTTGCCAATGAGTCTGGATAATTTTCTTAAAAATATGCTTTTAAGCAAACTTTTCAGTATGATATAAAGCAATAATAATATCAACAGAGATCACATATCTTCCAGGATCATTTCAATTTTTCACACAGTTGTATAAACAGACAATTGACAGAAAGATTCAGACTACAAATACACATTTTTCTTTATTCATTTCACCTTTATACATTATTATGGTTCCAGTTCCTTGGAACAATTACAATGATCTGCATAGTCACTTTTCTAGGTATTAAATTACTTTCTGAAAACATTTAAACATAGGTCTGATTTTCAAAATGAGTTGCCAGTAAACTGTCATCTGGGTTAAAAAGTCGATAATAACACTTTTTGAGAATACAACTGTGGTCAAACAAAAGATGCAGCAAAGTTTGAGGGGGGGCCTGCACAAAAAGATCCAGAGGACAGGAAGAATCGCTGCTCTGCAGAGAATCACGTGATGTGGTTTGGTTCTGACCCAGCAGTGTGACGTGTTAAGTTAGGAACTGAACGAGGCACAAAGTCGTCCTGGAACAGTAAAGAGCAGCAGAGAGTTCTTATTTCTGCTGACATTAAAGGTTTCCCATATTATGTATGTAACCATTCTGTCTGGTATCAGAACACAACGAGGCAGCATAAAGATCTGAAGCATCATAGCTGGAGCTCAGTGTGATTACTTGTGAAGAAAAGCAGACACAAAACAGAACAACTCGGGTCTGACTGGATCACTAGAGTATGTATGATCCCTTGAAATCCTCCTCCTGAACAACTTGTATCATCAGTTGTGTTTTGTAAAGTAAAGACTGAATAACTGATGCACAGTTAAGTGTATTTCTGTTAGTAATGTACTATAAATATGTTTTAGAAAAATAACTGAAAAATCCAAAAACCAAAAAGGACTTTATGAGGGGAAATGCAGTGAATATACACACATTAGCTTTTGTGACACATTTTTCATTAACTGTTTCCAGCTCCAAATTTAATTGTCAATGCTTGTGTAGTTAAGGAGAGAAGGAAATCATCCCCTGTCATAATGGGCAGCTTGAGGACACAGTAGTTGCACATCAGCTGGTTTAGTTGGCACTCTAACGCTATAAGAAAGAACTGACTTTTAAGCGTTCTACATAAATCTGTTGCTTTTATCTATGAATTTCAAAAAAGCTTCCATGTGAAATAGAAGCCTTTTTGGGAGTTAAAATGTGTCCAGGAAAAAGACCAAAAAAAGATCATTGTGCTCTTACAGTAGAAGGTGGTTTACATGATCAGGCCGCTGCAGTCTTGGATAGTTACACATTTACATCAGATATACCAGAAATATAGTCGGACAGGATCTGGGACAGTTTTTAACACTGGTAGAAATGATTCTGAGAAGAAGTTACATGAGTGTTAGATAAAAAAAAAACATTAAAATAAAGCGAAATATGATCATGGTCTCTTTAATCAAGTTATTTTTTTAAATCACGTAAATGCAGTGATTGGTGTCAGCAGTCAAATTTACAAATTTGACATTGTCACTTAATATGCCGATGCTCAAAAAAATAACACAACTCAGCTACATAATGACAAATTATCTAAACCAGCAATAATATCATTGTTATTATTGCAACAACTGAAATTTTGTGGATATGTCTGTCTTGATTTGTTACCCTCCTCGTTTCCATCATCTACTTGAATTACTTGACAGTCTCTGTTTGATTTGGCATGCTCCCAATAAAGCAGACTGTAAAATTGACATCAGATTCAAACTTCGAACTTCTGACGTAATACTGAATTCATGGGGCATGATAAGCAGACTTTTCTGAATAAGTTATCCTTGAGCATGACAGTCAACAAACATGTGTCCATAGAATTTAGTGGAAATATCTTTCTCGGAAACAGTTGTTCAGTATTTTGAACTGTGTGCAGAATCCTATGGTTTGATGAGATGTCACTATTTTGTAGGAAAAACTTTGGTGGATTTATTTTCTTTCATGTCTTTTTTTAATCTAGATCAAATAGCAATTGGGAAGAGAGTTTGTCATTTTAAATGGTCAAATGAATAGATTGTTAAAGGATGGGTCTTCAGACTGCAGTACTGGAATACGCACATATTTGGATAACAGGACTTTCAAACTGCCCAGATTTTGTGGAAATGTACCTTGAAAATGAGTCATTAATAGAAATGTTTTAATCAGTTAAACATAATAGAAAGATTGGATGGTACATTTCCTTGTAACAAAGTAAAAATGGGAAAACAAAAGGAATCTTGCTTTTTGATTTAGAAATTCCACTTAATGTCCCAAAAAAGTGGGACTGCTTTCTCTGTGGCTGCCCCCCTGACCTCCTGGTGCTGGTCAGGCTGTGAGGTAACTGAGTCGTCTTCTACTGGATGAGCTGCCGGAGCAAAAACACAGACACAAATCATAACTGGCCTGGTTATTATTAAATGTAATAGAAATAAGCACAGTGCGGTGAAGAATATATCAATATTTCAATAAAATTGTCAAGTAAAGATGAAAATAACAGCCCAACACACATTTAAATGAGTCTCTCTTTGAAATGCTCTGGATAAAAAACTAAATTGAAAGATTTTTCCATTTTTTCTTCCCATCCCATCACTGTAAAATAAATCAAACCTAAATACATACATTTTCATGAACACTTGATGCTCAAATTAAGCCAATAAATTGAGCTATTTTTTACAATAAAGCATGCTTAAAAAATACAACTGATCCATTTCCATGTCTTCAGTCATATCTAATTTATGGGTTTGAAATGATGGCTCCTAACCAAAGACTAAGAGGCCCAAACTGCCAACAAAATCAACTAAGCTTTGCAACGACTGCCCTCCCTCAAGCAGGTTCTAACGGTTAACAAGCAGCCAGCTGATGTTCATCATATCTTTAATGAGAGGAGTATAAGACAGGTGGCAATCACATAATGATAACTAAAACACCTTGGCATGAAAGAAAAGATTTAGGCTTTCAGCTTTGGTACATGTAACAGTTTGTTCCTTTAGCTAGAAAGAAAAAGAAGTTTTGGCTTCAATGTTTGATGATAGATGCTACAATGCATATTTAGAATTGACTGTATTCTACTATATGTTATGACCTTTGGTAGAAAGTTTCTGAAAAACTATCTATTCACTGGGATTCAGTTGAACTTTTCATGCGCCTGTGATTTCTTCTGAATGGCTAATAAAGCCCATAACATGCGTTGCACTCACTTGACATGCAGGTAATCAGAGGCTCCTCCCACAGGCCACCAGGCAGGCATTTGATTACGGGATTGAGTCTCTGCACAAAACCCTCTTCACAGTAGTAGCGCACCTTGCTGTTGGTCTCGTAACGCGACCGCTTCTTTCCATAGACCTTAGCAAAGGGAACCTGAGGGGGTGCTCCACAAGAGGCTGTTGGGAACAACTTAGATTCTTATCTCAAGTGCAATGCTTTAAAAAATACTGCAAAATACAATAACAAAATTTTGCACCAAAAAGGCTAGCATTTTTTAAAAGAAAGAGAACTCACAAACACCCTTCTTGCATGTGTATGGCAGGTGGTAGTTGCATGGCACATCACTCCAGTGGCCGCCATCATGCCACACCATTATTGCACAGTCCTCACCGGACAGGAAGTAGCTGTCCGGCTGGCCTTTGTACCAGTTTTCATAGAGCTGGCAGATGGGTAAGCAGATGAAAACAATCTCATGAGGGAGCAGGCAAAAAAATAAACTCCTTCATGTAATATTAGCCTGGTTTAACAAAAGCAAATCTTTTCATTGAGTCAGAATGAGTGCTCACCAGAGGGTTCCCATCTGACCAGCGGAAGTCGCCCTCAATGGTTCTGTCATTTAGTCCGATCCACTGGTACTCTTTGTATTTTTCTAAATTAAATATCAAGACATGTTTTATGGGTAATGACATTTTGTTGCCGAAAACAGTGAATCAGAAAATGTAGATTCATTTCTGTGGCACCTGTCATGATCTGATTTACAATAAAATATTTAAAAGAGGAATGAAAGAGAAACATGTACTTTTACTCTTTCTAGCGTGTAACATGTTACATGTAACATGAAGCAACTCTCAAAAAGACCCGGCGACATGTGATGGCCATATTTTACCATCACATGTCTGTAGTTTTGTATCAGGTAGCCTTTCAACTACGTACAATTATTATTATATAATACAAATATTAATAAAAACTATGAGGCACTCATCAAATGTTTGCACACTGGTCACGACTGTGATGGGTTACTAAAGAGAGAAAAGAACCCGCCATACGGCGGCTTCCACAGCTTTGGAGCGGCGACTTCAAAATATCTTTAGTTTTGACTAAACTATATGTTGATTCTGCCACCATCGATGTTTACATTCCCTGGAGCTCTTCCTTAATCTCTTTCATTGATGTGGAACACAGCTCCATGATGCCACTTGTCATTGAGGTCTAACCACAAATGTTTTAATTTAGTTTTTAATTAGTTTTGCTATCAATTATATTTACCTATAATTAAGCTTAAAGAAAATGTGCAATTAACTCCAATTAAGCTATAAAAACAAGAGGTTTAATGCTTTGTATGCAGGCCAAAAGTCAGATGATCCTTACACTTGAAACATGGAGGATGAATAACATGAAGGGTGTGAAAGGTTCACAGCAAGGGTAAGTTAGAACATTACAGGCCAACGACAGTTAGTTGTAGAATGTTTGTCTCACTGAGAGCTGCTTATGTAATCCTGTAATAGTAAATCATAAGTTAATATGATCTGAGGCTGCTCCCCACAGGGTGAAAAAGGAACCCGAGGAATGTCAGATAGTCATCTCATCACACTGCTGCCAGACAAAATACCAACTTCAAGAGCGTGACACGGAAATTCGAAGAGCTGGAACACTTGAAACGCCGATGTCGTGTCTGGGCATATTTCACCCCTTTACATCTTTCATGAATCTGACTGGGAGGAATGTTGGGGGGTTTGAAAGAGAAGTGGGCTGGTATCTGAGGGAAAGGAAAGGGGGCTTTGTACTTTTTTAAAGCTTTTTTTCCGTTGGATGCCCCAAATCAAAGATACAATAGGATTTTAAGCAAAAATGATATGGGGATAACATGCTTATAAAACAAACATTCCTAGTGTGTTATAGAGTACTTTGTCTCCATTTGCTCCAACTATTAGCATTTAAAGTATACCAGAGGGTTTTTTGCTTTCACATCAGCAAATCTTTGAAACATTTATATTTCCCTACAGCTAAGTTTGTACCGTTGATGTAGTCCTGCTCCTCAGGGGTCATGAGGGAGAGCAGATGGCCGCCACACATCCGACAGTGCTGCTCAGCTGCCTCCCAGCTCTGCTTTTTGCTGAAGTGATGATAGCAAAAGCCCTGAAACTTCTCCCAGCCTGGCTCGCATTCCTCTGCATCTAAAGCGGAGCGCATTACAGGATTAAAGACACATAAGATAATCGTATGGTGAAGAGCAGAGAGCTTTTCAAAATATAGCTTCTGTTTCCATAAAGGGGACTATACCTGTTTGGCATACGTCTCCTCCATAACCGGGCAAACAAAGACACCTCACATGTTCTCCATCAACACAGGTACCTCCATTCAGACAAGGGTTATCCAGGCAGGAATCTGCAAACACAGACGGATCGAAACCACATTTACATTTGTACAATACATATTGTTAGAAAACTTCATATAATTGTATTTCAGCATAAAATAAATGCCTCAAGCATTAGATTTAGCTGTCAGCTTGAGAGTGCAAATAAGTAACTGGAAAGATGTCAGTGCTACTCACTTATTTATTTTTTCAGCTAACTTTTATCATAATTTTGCCTTTTCACCATCCATTGAAGGGCTGGTCCATATCAGAAATCTTATTCTCACACAAACATCTGACTTCAAGGTATTTCTAACCTGACTGATAATCAGAGTTTTTGTTTCCTCCAACTCTTATCGATAATTGTTTTATGCGATATGGTTCTGTTTTTCCCGTAAACAGTTAACTTTCTACGTTTTTGGTAACCAGATACACAACTTGCTGAGGGGGAGCTGGTGATGTCTCAGACTCCTGTATATAAACGGTATAGAAAATCTGTCCTGTTATCAGAAATTCTGACCCCTGTCGAAGCTTCTAAAAGTGTTAAATGAACAGGACCACAAGGCAAACATCACAAACTGGAACCCTGCTAAGGACAATTTAAAGAATTCAGTGGAATATCAGTTCAAATCACTCAAACACTTTTGGTGTGAAACAAAGTGACTGCATATGCATTCTCCTGTTGCTTGCATCTATTCCTTTTAGATTAAAATTTACCAGCAGATGGAGCCGTTACACCAGGTTTGGTTTCCACAAACCCATAACGCTGGAAGCTTTACTCCAGCTGCAACGTACCACATCCTCTATGATTTCAACATTACAGAACTGCAAGCAAACGAGTGTGACTCCCAAAATACAGTTTTGCAGTGGCAACAGCACCTGTACCAAATAATCTTCCAAATAAATAGACGGAAATAATAACTGAACATTTTTAAAGTGCAGAAAATCATACATGCGTATTTGTTAGATTCAATATGATGTTCCATCCAGTGCGGATCACTGGAAATCTCTTCATTTCCCATTCTAACAGACAGCATAAGCAAACTAACCCCAGCTTTTGATGCACTGATCAACAGTTGTGTTTTATGGACCACAGATACCTGAGAGCTCCCCCTGTTGTGCAGCAGAAGCTTTGGCAGCTGGCAGGGTGGCGCCCATGGCTGTCTGCAGCCCCTGGTCGTTTTCAGAGTTTTCACGGTGAAGGGTGGGATCAACGACGGCCGCGTCACTGCTGTCTGCGGTGTGGGCTGGAGTAGAGGTCTGCTCCTCCTCAGGACGCCATGTGCATATGTTAACGGAGGGCTCGTCCTCATCTCCCTCTGATACACGTTCTGTTGCAGGAGTTCATTATTGTTCTCATTAATCTCTCATATTTAAATACAGATGATGTCACATACATTGTAAATAATAACAAAACACAAGTCAAGCAACAATTAAACAAAAATAATGTATGTCTTCACAATAAACAAAAAGAAGACCAAAACTGTTTCTCGGTTTGTCCTTATGTTTTAGGGTTTAATTTTAAATTTAAATTCTGAATACATATTTCTTTTCTTATTCATAAACCCAGATCACATCAATAAGATGCTCAAAGGCATGCTTTAAAGATCTGGTTGTGTTTGAATTTTCCAAATTCGACTGAACTCAGTAGAAATAACTGAAGTCAGCATCTTTGAACCTGAACACAACCTTATATGAACTGTGCCACATTTTATGACTGCATCACTTAAAAAGAATACTTCTACTTTAAATATCTGCCTGTATCATTTAAATAAATCATTTGAACCCATTGTTTGTTCTAGCAATTCACAGAATCGAGGAAGTGATACCATTTACCATTAATATTGCTCGTGGTAGTGTCTTGTTCCTTAGAGGTGTCGTCAGACTCCTCTTTGACAGGAGGCATGGCGCTGTACTCCCGATCAGAGCGGGACTCCTGTGGCGTGGAGAACGAAGGCTCTGGCTCCCAGCCCGGTGTGAGGGTCAAATGAGGGAGCAGTGTGATTTTTATCTCTGATGGAGGGGGCGCATCGGTGCCAGATTCATCAGTAACTCTCTCACTCGTGTGCTCCACTGAGAGTGTAGTGTTTGTCAGATCCAGTTCCGATTTCATCCCAGGATGTTCTCCGGAAAATTCATCCGATATTTCCTCTGGGTCATTGTCTGTGATATTCTGGGCTGTGCTGAGGAAGACTATAGGGTTTTCTCTCAATCCGTCCCGGTCTGGCTCATCTCGACCTTCGTGAGGTTCGGCATCAAATAAAACATGACCTTCTGGAGAGGATGCTGCCGTCCCTAGAGTGAAGGTTTCATTCTCCACGGAGGGTGAAGATGGAGTTACAGACACTGGGGCCGCAAGCAGTGTAATGTGAGTCTTCTTTAGGACGGGAGCATCTACAAAGGTATATGTGTCACCTGTGACAACTTCAGCTGCAGTGGCTCCCACCAGATGCACTTGTCCACTCAGCTCTGTTTGATTATCTGGTGCTGCAGTGGTTTTTAATTCCTCACCACTGTGGTCCACTGAGAATGACGGCTCTATCGTAACACCAAAGTGCTGTTGAGTGGGATTATAACCTGTAAAAAAGGGAGCATGATCAAGTACATCTTTTCCCTTCTAGAACAGTTTCAACTGAAGATGAAAAAGCAGATGTAATGCTGAGTCTGAATTAAATTTGGTTGGAACATACTAAATTAATTCATGATGGCTGGCCTGCGGGTAAATTATGTAGAGGTTTATTCATATGTCGAATTTTCAAGGAGAGTTTCTACTCATTTAGCAACAGCTGTAGTTATTCTTACAGCTCAAGAATCTAAACTGTAAGGAATATGCCTTAGATAAGCTTTGACATAAAATAGTGGAGACAGGTCTGCAATGAACCAAAAAAGGCATTTACAACGAGCATCTAACATGTACTCACTTGAATCAGAAGTAGGGACCACCTCAAAGGAGGTATGGACTTGTATACCCATCAGACTTTGGGTCCCAGGGTTCATTGTGTCCTCGTGTGGAGGAGGATTTTGAGTCTCCTCCTCAGATGCCTCCTCTGTTGGAAGACTCTCTGTTGTACTGTTGTCTAAATATGGAAACACGGTAGTGGTGTGGACATTTGTTTCCTGACTGTGAGGTGAAATGTTGGCTGAAATGTCTTCAACAGCACCAATGGTGCCCTCTTCTGGATGTCCTGAGGTGTGAGATTCGGTTACGGAGATGCTTTCCATGTGGACATCCTGAGTGTGGTCCTCCTGCAAAACTGGGAGATCACTTTCTTCCTCATGCAGGTCATCTTCATCTGCCTCTGACGTAGCGTTTACGACATGGATGTCCATGCTTTTGGTCTCAGAAGTGAGACCTTCTGTTGGCTCTGTGCTGTCTGAAGGTTCATGTGTTGGGATGGCGGGATCTTTGTGAGTCTCCACAGCATCGACCTTCAGCGGAGCTGTTGGAAGCACATCGGACTCCTCGTGGTCAGTCTCCTGGTTTTCTTCAGGCGCTGGCTGGTAGGACTCTGGGTAGCTGGCTTTTTTTACTAGCTCCCAGGTTTTACTGGTGGACGACCTCTCCGGATGCTCTGAAGGAGAAGTCTCAGACTGAGTGGGGTCGGCGGTAAATGCTGACTCCTTGCTATTGTCCTGTTCTGGGGACCGAGCATCCACAGGGCCAGCCTTAACTGGATTTGCTGTTCGGGCACTGTACACCTCTTTAACCCCTTCTGCCGTTACCTCGTCTTGATTGACGTCTGCCTGCGTTGTTAAGAAAATAATGTCTTGGCCGATATCCTCTGGCTCAGTGGAAAGAAAATCGTGCGGGGATTCAGTGTAAGGACCATGATCACCTGGAGAGAGGGACGTAATGTAATAAACAAAGTTATAATGTAGCCTTCTGACTTTAAAATTTACAATGCCCCACTTTTTGCGTAAATTAAAACAAAAATTCGTACTTTTAAAACAGTAGACATCATGTTGCGATTGAGTCTCTGGGAAGCCCGTCTGGTTGCTGTAGCGATAGATGGTCTTAACGCCAGGCTCCCCCCCTCCACAGCGCTCTCTGGGGGTGACGATCGGGTAACGCACGCTGCCGTCTGCCAGCCACCCGGGGCTGCAGTGGTTCAGTCCATCGTTCCAGGCTGCATATAACTGAGCTGTGGTGGCCAGCTCTGCCCCGTGACTCACACAGTAAGCCTTGGCCTCCCAGAACGTGAAACGCTGGGGGGTGGAGCCATGGAACACTTCACCTTTGAATAGACAGATGTTCATAAAAAAATATTTGCAATCTTATTTCTGCTGGAGTCTAAGTATAAATTTGAACAACTGACAGTATTTTAATACTTTTTTTCTCTCTCTTATCAATAAATACTTTGTGAGTTAATGAGGATGGATAAATTAAACTAAACCACTTTCAAAACAGAGAAAAGTGTTACAATAATGTAACATAATAAATTGCATAACCACGTCCTTTATTTAATTCTACTGGTTTCCTTTGCATTTGAAAATGTTGTCTTTCATTTAATTAATATTGTGACCATTTTTTCCATTTTTTTTATCTGTCCTTTGCATTTGGTTAAAAATACAGCCTATAAGCATGGTGGAAAAATAGATTTTTGCCTTGCATTTCAGCTTGGTTTGCTGTCCAAGCACGACATCTGGTGGAAGCATTAGGTGGTATGTCAAACTTTTTGAATAGTAAAATTGTAAATTCATCTTTATGTTATACCAGTTAAACATGTAAGAAAGTGCATTACATTTCAGAGGAGGCTGTATTAAAGAACGGAAGAAAAGATTCAGCTATATAAAAAAAATCAAACTTGAGTTTTCATTGTCTAACCGTGAATATTCTTCACATAGCAGTAGACATCGTAAAGCTCATCAGGCTCTAGCAATCCATAGTTCCTCACTCCAGGCAGGCCATCCATGTCTCCAAAACAGCCCTCTCTTGGCATCTGAATGGGATATCTGTGGATGGAGCATCACATATCACTGAGGGTGATCACTGAGGGTGATATGTGCTATCAATATGGAGCTAAAGCAAGAACTCGGAGTGGTGCAAAAACTGGTTTTCTGGGTTTCTAAACTATATTACACAAAACGCAGAGTGTCAAAACTCTCGTTGCCTCTCAGGTCCTGACCTGACTGAGTGGTCTGCCAGCCAGCCAGCGTCACACTGCTCATAACCGCTGTGGTAAGCAGCGAGGAGTTCCTCCGGACTGGCGATGCGAGCCCCAATATGCTCGCAGGCCTCTGCGGCTTGCTCAAAGGTAAAAGCATACCGGCTGGATGCATCACGATAATGGAACACCACACCTGGAAAAAACAAAAAGGAAGTACGCCATATATTCTTAACACATCGGCAGATGAAACACACAATCATTGCAACAATGGTAATGATAGGTCTGCTGTTTCTCTGTTTCTTGGCGTAGGGTGAAGATTAGATGGTTTTTAGTTTTGTGTGCTGGTCTCTGTCAGCGCGGTCACATGGTCTTACCCTTGACTTTGACCTGAACCACGTCGTCAGCGTCCTCCAGGCCCTGCTGCACCTCGCAGCGGTAGAAGCCGGTGTCGTTTTGCCTCAGGCTCTCCAGGTGGAGGGTGAGGTCCGCAGGGGAGTAGGCGTAGTTGAGCAGCGAGGCTCTGTCTTTGTAGGCTTCGCTGACTCTCACCCTGTCGCCGCGGGCCACCAGGATCTCCGTCTCCTGACCGTGGGTGAGGACGCTCCACTTGACCCGGGGCTCGGACAGCACCGCGTGGCGGCCGTTGGAGGTGGTCGACGGCGGCGGGTGGGTGAGCGACACCAGGCAGGGTAGAGTTAGCGAGCCACCCAGCACGGCAATCACAGGCTCGGCGGAGGTGATGGTCACCTGGAGGAGCTTCGAGTCATCTGAGAAGATGTAATCACTTTAGTTAATTTCCACTTCGAGCCTCAGTTACAAAAATGTCGACGCGATCTGCTGACATTGCGTAAAAGATCTTATCATAAAAACATTTTAGTTCTGTTCAAAGATGTGTCAGTCAACCTTGGTTGTCCGCAGAGATGCCCGAACACCCTCATGAATAGAGTCCAGAGTGTACATGTCAGCAAAAATGGTGAACAACAAATAATAATTGAAGACCACCGTGCTGTCTCAAAACGTCAGAGGTCACCGTGACTTAATGAAATCACAGAGGTCTGTGGCAGATAGAGAGGGAGGTGTGCGTACCTGGCTCATGGTGGGCTGTGGAGGTCCACGGTGGGGCAAGGACACAGATGGCGAACAGCAGCACAGATGGAGTCACAACCAGTCTAAGGTGAAGAGAAGGTGGAGGGACAATAATTAACATTAAGGCAGATGAATTTCCAGCAGACATGCTGGTGTGATACTCAGGACTGAGCTCAAACTGTCAAAAAAAGACTGGATCTGCAATGGAGACTGTTCAGGAGCTGTTAGAGCTGACTGAGTGGAAAATACATTATTAACATTTCATTCTATTACTTTGATCTGATTTTTTTTTTTTTACAATGTTGTTCAAAAATGCTGTGAAGTAGTTGAAATAGCGTTTTTTTATTTTATTTGGCATTCCATATTAAATGCGAAGCCTCACAAAACACACACAATGTAGAGTTTTTTCTTTACCTATTTGTTTATAATTTAGCTCCTGTTGCTCCTGTTGGCTTTATGTTGGGGTGCAAAAGGACTGAATGTGATGATGAGTCACCCCTCCACAAGAAAACTTGCACATGTTTGCAGCCACAGACTCAACAACAGAGGGGCTGCCTGTGTGTCCTTGGAGTTTTGGGGCTGCTCTTGAGTCAGACTTCAGGAGCTGTAACGTGTGAGCTGAATTCTGATTCCTCTGAAACCTCCATGAGGGTCGGACAGAAGCCCAGCTGCCGGCTCAACTAGATTTACATGATTACCAGTCCAGCTATCCTTAAGTATGCGCACATTTGTTTTCGGATTGTCTTTGTATCTTAAACTCCTGTTTCAGTTAAGCTTTATTCACACTACAGCTCACCAGGCAGACTGATATGCTGATTCGCTCTAAAGACTGTGAAAGTCTTTTATACAGGAAGAGAAAGCCCAGCTGATAACGTTACATCATGACATACATTATGTAAACTTAAAACTCCTTCTTTTGACCATGTATAAGCACTTAATGACATATCTTCAGTATCTTAATACAGGGCATTTCACTCCAAAACCAGAATTATTATGGAGTTCCATTTGGACATTTCTGCCACTCTAGAAAACGACTGTCGTAAATAAACAATCTGGGAGGAATTAAATCAAGAGAACGAAAAACAATATTACAATTAACATCCAACATGCTCGGTGTGATGCTTTGAGGTGGTTTGTTTTTTAGATAAATGTTTTTCCGGCAGCAAAGGGAAAACGTGGACTCCTCACCAAAAGGGACCAGACATGACTTTAGTGATGTGCCTGAGGAAAGTAAATGAAGCTGAAAGAGAGCAACTGGTTCAAGCAGTTGCTCATGTATTTATGTGTCTTAGAAGGGAATATCCGAGGACATCTCTGTGGAATCAGATGACTGCAAGCCTTTCCTTTGGACTGAAGGGGGTATTAAACTTGCATTGAACAGGGAAATTAAAATTTGTTTTGTAGCTCTCAGCAGAGACAGACTTCTAATCAAAACAGGATTAATACATAATTACTCAAAGGTTTTCTTCTAATGCTTCAATTTCGCTCTGCCAATCATAAATGAAAGCTGTGAAGGCGGAGAAGCCATGCGGGATAAAGCTAGCTGCTGAAATTATTTAAGTGAACAGCGTCGGAGGCTGCCAAATACTAAAATATGAATAAGGAAAGCCGACAGATGAGCTGCAGCAAATTTATATTGAATGTGAGAGAAGAAATATTTGGATTGCTTATTGTTATACGATACCTAGAGGAATTGTTAGTTTCACACACAACCACTGAGGACAAAAAAGTACCATTTTAAAAGTAAACTTTTTGAAAAGTCCTGATCAAGAGGCTGGTACTCACAGATAATCTGTGTGGGCTCCAAAACATCAAATATTTGTTAACGTTTAATAATCTTATCACACCTCTGGCACAGTGAACAATGCATATCTAACTACAACACTGGGCAGAGTGTGCGGCTTCTTACCATTACCTCATTTCCATACAGCATGGGAGGCAGGGGGACAGTGGGGGAGGGAGAAAGAGAGAGAGGTGGTTCTTCATCAGGCTGAGGATGCATCCCAGGCAACATTACAAGTGCAAAGACGGGCATCGCAAGTGGCTGAATAGTCAATGACTTCACCTTGAGGGAAAGGAGTTCGTGGCCAAGTTAGGATGTTTGACCGCTCCGTTTGCCAGAAGAGGTCATCTGAGGCTGCGAAGGAGGAGGGTGAAGGAAGTGGAGGAACTCCATTCTTGAACAGTGGGCACCAGCTTTGTGAGAGTTTGGCCCATTTTGCTGCCTTGCCCAGTGTGTGATGACATTGTGGAGAGTTTAGAGCAGGACACACACTGACATTTTTGTATGCAGCAACACAAGTGCTCATTCTGAAATGACAAATCGGACTGTCCAAAACCATCCTGATGTTTGACATGATTTGGCATGATGGTTGAGTCAGTTTGTGGGCGAAGGGAAAGTACCTGTTTTATTCATTTCAGTTCAGTTCATCTTAAATCACTGAGTTAGTTAGTTTATCATGAAATAATGTGTGAAATCGGTTGTGAGGAGGCGTCTAAACAAGGAAATGCCCGTATCCTAAGGGATCCAGAGACAAAATACATAGAAAGACCTTTTTCTTTCTGTCTGAATTCCCTTCTAACTCCAGGTTCATGAATAAATGTTCAGTGGGGTGCTATTCAATAAATTAAGAAATACATTGGAAAGAAAAATCAACAGTTTATTTTAAAAAAAAGTTTATAACGCTCTACCAGATATATGTCTCATCGTTTACATTTATCTGGAAGTTGGGAACTGAGTTTATTTCAATAAAACACAACAGAAACTGTGTCTTTAATTGCATAATGACAGCTGTGTAAAAAAGAGTTGTTTTGCAGTCTGTCAGGATGAACATGTTTGCTGCATTAGAAGTGTTTTAAACTATCATTAGCATTATTCTTAACTGATTACTTATTACAAACCTTTCAAGGAGGTGACATGGGCTCTATTCAATACATGGGCTCTATTTCCCAGAATGGTGCCCTCTTGGATGTTCTCTTGTATTCTTTATTTCGTATTGGTCAGATTTGAATCGGGGATGGATTGAATGCAGGATGCAAAATCAAAGATGCAAACAAACTCAGTGACACCGAAAGTCTTTCACACACACATAACCGGAGCACCAAACACCCGTCTCCAACGCGTATGTCATTCAGATCTGGAAATGAGTGCAAGACCACTTGCTGAGCCACTATTAGACCGGCCTGACCTCCCCCACAACCCCTCCGTTTTCTCACGGCAAGGACCACCGCCGTTTCCCTGTTCTGCCCCTCTGCAGATCGTCATCCTTCCAGCCCACCAGTTCCACATCACACCACCTCAAAGGATGCCCATCTCCAGGGGCAACCTGACCCCCCCCCCCTCCTGACAGACACAATTTGACAGGAAGCAAGGAGCAGCCAGGAAAGGCTGGAAGCAACGGAGACCTCTTAGGAGAAAAAAAAAAAGAGGTAGCAGCGGAAAGAAAAAGGGTCCGTACAGCATGACTGAGTGCTAAGACTGATGTTAAGTTCACGGGAATGATTTGGAACAGTTCACCAGTCAGCCTCGAGCAGCAGCCATGTCTTATTAGCTTTTAGCTGCTGACTCTCAGCGCTGGAGGGCAAAACTGTTAAGGCTCTGACAAAAGGCATAGGCTGACAGGGCCGGCTGTTCGCCGCAGCGGCAGCGGGTCAAATCCACCCTCAAAATGGGCCACAACGCTGATCGGGCAGATTTAAAGAACCGATGCTTAAAAACAAGGGCGAGAAAATCGCACAACTGGGATCGACTCGCTCTGTTTGAGACACCTTTCTGAGGAGCTGCGGGAGACTGCTGCGGTATCTGTGGAGAGGTGGCAACTCCTGAAATTACCAGAAAGTGCAACATGGCAACAACCTGCACGACCTGCTGCCTGCACCAGGAATCAACTCTCCTCTGTTAAACACAACCCACAGCCATGTCTAAATACAACTTTCAAAGCCAACATTTCCATCGTAAATGTTGCTGATTTATTTATTTTTTTAAGAGTACAGACAGATGTTTAGAACTAGTAAAAAGTGATGGATAAAACATATTAAGAAAACTCAGTAATCTGTGACTTATTTTTGGTGAGTCTGTTTCAGGATAGTATGTAAAAACTTAATTTAATCCTGTCTCACACCTTCAACAAAACAAAAAACATTCAGATTTCCCCGAAAAAAAGGTTTATTGTCAACTTTGTCTGCATGACTTCCATATGAAACCTCAGGCTTCCTATCAGAAGCTATGCCTCATTCAATAGATTGAATTCTGCAAATAGTCATTGATGCGCAATAACAACACAACACAACTCGTTATTAACAGTTAAAGAAGTCCCAGTCTTTAAAAGAAGTAATGCACCTTCATACCAGTGTCTCTTTAGATATTCTGCTTTAGTTTGTGTTACTATAAATCTCAATCTGCACTGAATGCATCGTCACTCATGCATAGTATTGAATATGATATGTCTAATGTTGCCACGACAACAATGGTCTACCTGTGTTTTAATCAGCGTTTCAGTCTGGAGTCCATTGTTTAAATTGACTATCTCAATTTGTTTTGAGTTGTTCAGACCTTTTACTCCCCTGCATGACCTGACAGCCCCGAGCTGCAAACTGAGATTTCCTTAACCTAAACTTAATGGTTAAACCTCAAGACCTATACCTGTTTCAGAAATAAATGAATAAATATATCACTAGTTTTAATATTTTAATTCAAACAATTTTCGGTAATGTGCCAACACGGCACACTTTAAACAAATAATGAAGCTCAACCTAAAATGACTCAATTTCAATAAAGTTTGATTCGACAGTTTAATTAAAACAACCTTGTTTTACTAAAGTTTTGTACAAGAGATACTGACATGAGAAGAAATAGCAGTCACTAAATAAAATTAAAGCCAAACTAAATCTTGCTCCTAGAAGCAAAGATATCCTGTTTAAACTAGGAAGCAGAAAACGTTTCCAACAGTATTTTGAAATGACCAAGAGCGTTCCAAAGATTGCCGCCACACTGGGTTCTCTTCTGAACGCTGAGACCCACAAATGCTGCTTACTGCCCATTCCCAGCTCACAGTTTGGGACAAGCTGGACCAGGCCAACGTTTCATTAGACTCTTTGACATGTTTGTCATAAATCACAATGAGAAGCAGCCTCCAAATTACTTCTTAAACTCTCCTGTTTATGTCATCTGATGTATTGTAAGTTTGTGAGCATCCATCTCACTACACTCCTTTTACCCACCTCTGGTAAAACGATTTGTAACACTCTAAAGAGACTAAATAATACATTTTAATGTTGACACATGTTTAAATAGATAGTGTGATCATTATTATTATCATTATTATCATTATTTCTGTACAAAAAAGGTGTTTCTGGGTTATTTGGCCCTCATGATCACCAACCTAGAAGGTGACATTCTCTGGGAGCATCCAGTGATGCTGCAGCAGCAGGTGACATCTCGCGCTCATTATCTTGCAGCCTCACGCGCGCAGCACATGTCGCCCCTCTTTAGTTTAAAACATCAAAATGCATATCGCTCATTGACAGTGATGTTTTTCCAAAATGCGAGCTCCGTAAGGTGGTAAAAAAAAAACCGTCCGTGGCGCGCTACGGACGGAGACCTGAGAAACCGGTCGCGTTGCATGAGAAAATAAGCGACTTACTTCATTTTGGACGGGAGGAACTCTCCGTCTGGATTCTCAGAAGTTGTGAGGATGTGGCGTCTTCTGCAGGGAACCCACGCACAGGTGCAGGCTCCGTGTCCTCCTCAAGTGTGGGGCTCTTTCCTCGCTGCCTGGGTGTGTGGACGTGAACGGAGGAGAAACTGGGATTAGAGCAGTGTTAAAGGACCAAAGACCCCCCTTCACTCCCCTCCTCCTCCTCCTCCTCCTCCTTCATCCTGCCCAGAGAGTCAGTGAACCTGCTGAGAGGTGAACGAGTGTAAAACAACAAACTTAATCAATTACTCTCACACCTTCTCAGTGGAATTCAAACTAAGCAGGTGGTCTCTAATACAATAATATTTTTTTTTGGGCAGCAAATTAAAGCTGCATTTCTTCGGACTAATTTGACCACTAGGGGGCAGAAGAACGCTGGCTGTGCCCACCTTTAGCATCATTTAGTGGTAAAAACTTTGCTCAAAACCCTGTTGTAAACAATCAGATATACTTAATAAATACAAATACTTCAAACAAAAAAATAGATATGATCTTCTCTCCGTGTTTTCTGGGATTAAGCTTTAAAGGGTTAAACGATTGAGTGCTATTTGTGTGTTCATTTCTTTTGTTTGCAACAATGTTTGAATAAATTCAGCAAGAATAGCAGGTGCCTGTGAGAATACAGTAGTTTCAACAAAAAATAAACAAATAGATAAATCATTCAGATTTAATACATAAGATGATTTTAAGAGGCAGTTAAAAAGATGAGTTAATCAATGAACCCATGTATTCTACAGATGAGCTGCACCCTGCACTGTGCACACTGTTTATCCTGTATAATATGTATGGACAATATAACTTATATACGTGTAACATCATTAAAAAAAAATGTAGAGTGGACAAATTCCTTATGGTGTGGCAGTGGGTAATAAAAAACGAATTATGCACATGGTGCTAAAGCTGGGCCATGACTAATATGTACAGTGTGAGATGTGTGCATGGGAAGGGATATACAATAAAGACTCATATAAAGAGTCCAGTAGCCTGACCCATGGAGTGATGAATTCTACAAAATCATTATTGAATTACCTCACAGAGCCAGCCGAGCTTTTTCGTGTAATCCATCGTGTTGTTATTACAGCGTCTTATTACCACAGCGGGGGAACGCTTAATCTTCTTTAATGTCAGATTTCAAGAACAGTCCATAGACTAATACCGTGTAAGCACATTTACCAAAGAACTAAGTGACATATATAGAAAATAAGGATTCAAAATTGAACATGATGAGGAGAACATAAATGTATGTCCAACAAATCAGGCTCAGGAAAAATTAATCTTAAGGGCTGGTGAAGTTCTGTTGTTTCTGTACCAAGCTAACAGAATTATTTACATCTATTTATTCACACTAAATAGTATGAAATCATTTTCAACCCTTTTTCTCCTTCTCTGTCTCCCTTTTCCTGACATTTGGAGTGATTTCAGTGACATTCATTCATTTTTCACACCCATTTTATCTAATTAAGAGATTCAGAAAGGGCGACATGGGGGTGTGGTAGTTAGCACCATCACCTCACAGCTAGAAGGTTCCGGGTTCAAGTCCCCGGGGGAACCAGAACCTTTCTGTGTCGAGTTTGCATGTTCTCCCTGTGTCTGCATGGGTTCTCTCCAGGTTCTCCAGCTTCCTCCCACCGACCAAAAACCTGCATGTTAGGTTGATTGGACATTCTAACATTGCCCTTAGAAGTGAGTGTGAATGGTCGTTGGTCCTTGTGTGTCTCCGTGTGGCCCTGTGATGGACCGTCCAGGGTGTATCCCACCTCTCGCCCATTGAGGATAGGCTCCAGTCCCATTAGGGAATAAGCAATTACAAAAATATTACCAGTGAGGTTTGGTCCTTTTTAAAAAAAACTCTTTAACTAGGCTCCTATGGCCCTGAGGTTTAACCCGGTCTGGCTTTTTCTGGCAGGATGGCCGGCTGTATAATGAATGTGCTTTTGTCAGATCCGCAGCGGGGACATGGCGCTGCTACACTCGGCTTTAAGGACAAACACTCGCCAGAGGAGAGGCAAAGTGGAGCATTGAGACTCGGAGCGGGGGCCAAACGTGGCAGGCGGTAAAATTCTACCCAACACAGATCAAAGGGCTCACAATGAGGAGCGGTCAGTCTGAAACAGCCCAGTAATAAAGCTTAAATACTCCCTTAGTTTTGACATTAATAAATGTATGAAAGGAGCGATTACAGAAAAGCAGATTAACCCGTCGGACCACCACTTTGGACTGCACAGACGAGGGGAAAAAGTCCAAACCGCTCTTTTGATGCTTTCTCATGAAATCTGAGACATTTATTGGCCTTGGGAGGATGAAGCCCGCTGACCCCCATATTCCTCACACAGCAGCCTGAGGTGGAGCGCTTTTAGTTGGTCGTGAGTTCTATTAATCAAAGGATTAGGATGGAATTTGGTATCCAAAAGACATCTCTAATCCCCTGAGTGAGAACCAGAATTTAATATTGATCATTCAGTCTGCCCAACATGCACTGACATTCAAGATCGAACATCTAAAATTGTTGATGCTCTCAGAGATCATTTGTGAGAAAACCTAAAAGGCATTTTGAAAAAAACCTTCGTAATCATTCCTAAAATCCCTCAGACCAGACATTCAGGTCTGTCTTCATAATGAAAACACATTAAAACCAGATGACTCGTGTCACATGCACCACCGGAAAGTTTTTTTTTTCTCTGATGCTGATTCAGGTATTTAGTAGTTTTTTTTAGATGATGGCAATTTTTCGGTCTCACAAACAACTCTCTGTGTTGCACTTAAAATTAAATCTTCCTCTTTTCTACACTGGACCATACAAGCTGTTAAAGCTCCATCAGTTTGAGATGGGGAAAATATGACAGAAATCGTGTACTGAAGTAAAGACCAGAAGAACGAAGAACTGAGAGAATCATCTCTAATAATCCTGACACGTCTTCATTTCTACTATACTGTTTATTAGCAACATCCAGTAACAGCTAGTGGAAGCTGCATTTCTTTAAAAAAAAATAGCAATAACATCTTTAAACTACGGATTAGTCAAAAATATTTTTTAAATCTTTCTTGCCATCAGCCTCAATAATGTCACTAATTAAGTAATTATGCGGTTAACAAAATGACAATACCGTGAAATGGTTTTCCCTTAAAGTATTTTAATTTCAGCATGTTTTGAAGTATTAAATTCCATTTAATATGTTCTCTTTCCCTCATCAGTTAGAAGATGAGATAGAGCATATGGTTTGCTCACGATGATCTGCCTTGTTATGTCTTCATCCAATGTTTATTCAGCATCTAAAACATTTGAACCATGTTCATTCGCCGCTGGAAAAACGAGGCTGCCCTCAAGTGGTAAGAAACATTTCACCTCCAATAACAAAATCTTTTCATGTTACAAATGTAGAAAATATGCTGTAAAAATCAAGCGGTTTTAAACGCCTCTTCCATTATGTTTCAACAAAAATGGATGCTCTGTAGATGTGTAAATATTTTTTCTGCAAAAACCCAAAAAGGAATAAGTCAAAAAATGTTGTCCATCTTCCTGAATGCTAGTTTGTTCCATTAGAGCCTCGGCATCTGGAGTCCTCGTATCAACGGCACAGTTGATCCAACGTGGAAATTCTCAGTAGCGGCCTTGAACTGTGACGTTTTTTTTTAAAAGGTCAAACACGTCTGTGTTTATTTTTGCGCTGTCTCCTCAAACTTGCCACTAACTGGCCATTGATCTGGAGACTAGAGTCCTCTCCCACTCCACTTCCACCACTTTGTAAAGCTCCATGGTGGCTTTAGCGTCCTCCACAGAAGAGTGGCCTTTCCTCCCAGTCTGAGGACACAAGACAGGAAGCGCTCAGTCTCATATTCATCACAATTCAAATGAGATGACATTAAGAAATCTTTCGGAGAGGTAAATTACTTTTCTATTTTGACCCAAAAAGTCCTGATTAATTCAACCAAGAGCCACGTTCGACATAACTAATTAATTTAATAAGCTGACGCTTCTTTACCTGGATGTCACGGTTGAAAATGGCTTTGGTGAGTCTCTTCAGTGATGCACACTCACTGGCATTGAAGCCGGCCTTCAGGTTGAGCAGAGGGATTCGGGAGGTGTCCCTGGTCAAGATGTTGGGGTGACTGTAACTTAGGGCCTTGAAGTCATTGTGGATGGCGTGGCCAATAATCACCTTCCCCATGAGCAGCTTCAGGATCTATTTCGCAAAAGGAAAAAAGACAACAACATTTGATTACTTTTCAGTTTTAATCAAATTAGGTAGTTAATTCTATATGGTTGTAGTTAATTATTTATGGATGGTTTTATTTTATTTTATTTTGTGGTGGTTTATTTATGTCATTTCTGGTTATCATTTTCAGTGTCCTGCATTGTGGAGCCAATGTGGGCTATTTTTGCTGATAATGAAGAATCCAAAAATGACCTCCTTAATTTCCCATTCATTTCTCCAGTACCTGCTCGGGTTGTGTTTCACATTAGAAAAAGATGAAGCATTAACTGTGGGATGAGTCTCTCCAAACCATGTCAGCCTAAGACTCTCACCTCCTTCCTGGCTTCTGAGAACGGCGTGGCCACGAGGAGGTCCCTGGGCCGAATGCCGCTCCACCGTGTGCGGTAGTCGGTCACGGGCATGGGGGGTTTGATGAACTTATCATACACCACATCCCCCTCATAGGACACGATGCTGCAGCGCGCCAGTTGGTTGACGCTGCCTTTTGGACCCGAACCCACCATTTCACAGTCAATGGCCAGGAACTTGTTGGGGTCTCCTGTGGATGTCGGGGGCCTGTGGCTGCTCGACACCGCGGGCCTGTGGTCAGCGGCTGCCGCCTTTGGCTTTCCGTGGCTGCCTTTGCCGTGACAGAGGCCGGACACTGAAGGCTGTGAAGGCGTGGACGCCGTTGCTCTGGAGCTGCAGTGCGTCAGGTGAGGTGAACTTCCGGTTGGTGCTGCAGCGGGGGGGTTCTTTGTGAGAGACCCATTCTGACGTTGGGTTGGGTTCCCTGTGAGGTGTCCCCGTTGGTAGGTGCCGTTTTGTTTACCCCTCAGGTAGCCCTTGGCCTTTAATTGTTGCATCTTTTTACGAAACATCTTTTTTTTCTTCTTCTTGTTCTTGTCCGTTGCTGGACGTATTACCCGAGAGGCGTCATCCGAGGAGCACAAGTTGATCACAATGTCCGACATGTTGGCACCAAAGGAACAGTTTTCCTACTTCACTGGCAATCAAAAGTATCCTTATTTTAACAGCCTCAGCCAGTCTTTGGTTTTTGTGGTCCAGTTTATTCTCACTGAAAACAGTTCAGCTGCATCATCCTGCAAGGCAAAAAACAAATTATCAAACACCATCTTGATTTGATTACCTGTGCCTGCCTGCTTCTGAGCAAAACACATAAACATGTTGATGTTCAAGTTTAACAGGAGTTTCTGTTTAGTGTGTGATAATGTTGCCACTGTTCTCAGAGTCTGCTACTGACTTATCAGGAAATATTCTGTGCAGATGACTTTGTCTTTACATGACAGTCTAGTTTCTGTTCCCCTCATTTTGGTCAATCTTAATAAATCAGTAAAAACATGGGGTACCTGCATCCTGCACTTGTCAGGTTTCTTCTGTGTGTGGATTAAATTAGTATTCTATTCTTTATGCCAATCGAGAAACTAAAAAAAGAAACTAAAAGAAAGAAAAATACACTCCAAATCTTCCCTTTATGACATTTCTATTACAAAACGACCAACCACAATGATGACGACCCAGAAATGTTACAAAGTTTGGTGGAAAAAATGGAATGAAAAGCTTTAGTCTGACATTTACAACATAATTGAATACAGCAACGTCAAAAACCTGTAGCTGTATCACTTTAACACGTTAAAAACTGAATACAAGAAGAGATGAACCACCAGTTATGGTCTGATCATCCTTTTTTCCAAGTCCTTAGGTCACTCAAAGCTCACGTTATGCATCCAGTCCGTCAGAAAATGATCCAAACAAAAATGCACTTTTTGTGTGAATTCAGAGCCAAATAGAATTCAGGACTATTTTTTTTCAAATTGGCTGAAAAGAAACAAACACTTTTCAACAATGATTTAAGAAAACTTTTAAACAATGAAAATAATAAGGATCAGTCTAACTGAGCACTACAAAAAATATATAAATGTGCTGTTAATGCCAGTACTACATGTTAATGTTTTCACGTTTACGGCGACGGACGTAGCTTTCGGTTTGACGTAAACTAGCTAATGGGTTGACGACGTTGAACACAACTTGCGTTAGCTCGTTGATTGTTGGTGATAGTTAGAGCTAATTTTGAAGGCTGTTGGTCAGGAAACACTACTCAATCCTTTATGGACTGACAGGGGGTGATACCGATATATTTCCTACAAGTAAACTCAGAGAATAAATAAGTGGAAGACAAAACCAGACCTGCAGCACGCCCGGACCCCGCGAGGCTTCCTGCCACAATAACAGATTCATATCCGGGGCATGATGCATTCAGACTCTCAAATGTAGCTTTTTCATAGCCGCCAACTTATTATATATTTTAATAATAGCTTAATACTTTGCCGTACAAGCAATTTACTATCACTTTGCAATATAGGCACTGATTATTACGAGATAAATGTCAAGTATGCACGGCACAAGATACGAAAGGAAACGTAAAAGATACAGAATTTCACTGGCTATACAGAATTTCACTGGCTGTTCAATCTACCTGTCAGACTATTTGTTCTTTTTTTTTTCTTTTTTATGTGTCCATTTAATCATGTGTAAATACTGAGCATGGAAAATAAGAATTGGCAACAATGACAATGTCACGAGATGTTTGTCACGAGTAAAAGTAGAAATTACGAGGTACACATGAATGCTGCAGCGTCCCATGTGTGAAAGTTAGCTGCAAAAAACGGCTTGTGTTTTAACTTGCACGTATTTAGACATTTTAAATCACTCGTGTAGTTTATGTATTTCAATTCAAAAGCGACTTGATAGCAGTCAACGCATATTAGAAACCCACAATTTTAACCGTTACAGTAAGGTAGTAACACAGTTTTATCAAGCTAACCCATGTTAGCATTAGCTCCCCTATGAGTCCTTTCAGATGCACAAGATGTGAAGATGTTTACACCAAGTTTCTCTGCAGAGCAGCAGAAAGAGCTGGCGAAAAGACTCACGGATTTTCTAACTCAGTACAGCTACCTAACCGACTCGTATATTATTGTGAGTATAGAGTGTCTTGCCTTTTGAAGGCTCTGCTGCTTGTGCCAAATGAGATAAATGTATCAATCCATTTGTAATGTAAATCTTTGTTGTGCCCTCCTCAGGAGTTCTTCACTGAGGACCTCTGGCACTCGTTACCCAGCGCATGGCAGGCTGTGCTGCAGGACCTGACTTACCCACAGATTGCAGACCTGTTATTAGATGCTACACATGGAGAAAGGAGGTACTCCTCGATCATAATGATGTTAAGCCACATACAGTGCAAGTCAAACCTTTTGTCACACATGGACCACTTTTATGAATGAGAACCTGTCCAAACTTTTGACTGCTCAAATACCCACATACATGCATCCATTAATGTGTGTATGAATGCATATATGACATAGTCCTCCATTAGGTATGGATCATGCATTGACATGACCTGTCAAAAGATTACCAAGAAGATTCACTAAAGGTCAGTATTGTAAAGGGGTCATGCTTTTTTAGAGCATTTCTGACCACTGACCCTGATGTGGAAACTGTTTGACATGACTAGAAATAAGCAAACTTTTTATCCAAGAAAAAAAAACATCAGCAACATTCTTGCCCTGTGCAGGTATTAATATAAAATATTGCGTTATTGATGTTGACAGGTGTAAACGTAAAGAGGAATAATGATAGTAAAAAATCCTCATACTCCACTGATGAATCTTATTCATATTGATAGTAACTTTAAAAACTGTCAAATGGATCAAATGTGTGTGGAACAATGAGGTTGTTAACTACAGAGACTTTGTCGCCACAGGTACCCCTCGGTGTGGCCTCTGTCTCTCTTGGCTTTCCGCGCCACAGCTCATGCTCTGGCTTTCCCCAGAGATAGCAGGGATGACCAAGGCGGAATAGCTGGTTTGCTGAAGCCTGAGGAGTTCCTGGAAAACCAAAGCCAGAGTTCTCTGCTGGGCCATATTTTCAGGAAGCATGTCAAACCAAAGAAGCAGCACGAGATCCGAAAGCTTGGCATGGTAAAGAAAACTTGTTTTTGTTTTTTTATTTATTTAATCAAATCTAATTTGGTTAATGTCGTAAATAGAACTACGGTATACTTTTTTCCCCCTGACAGGTAGTTAGACAAATTTGTGACCAAACTGGCTGCCGGAGTGTGGTGGACGTTGGCTCTGGGCAGGTACAGTTTTTTTTCTTTAATCTGATTTTTGGTTGAAGATAAAACAATTTTTTTTTAAAAACAGATGTTGTAAGCTTCATCTTGTCCAAAATGTATTTTTGACAAAGGGTCATCTGACTCGTTTCCTGTCCTTTGGGCTGGGGCTGTCTGTGACTGCCATTGAGGCAGACCACACACTTGTTTCGATGGCAGCCAAATATGATGGAGAGTTACTGTGGACCTTGGAAAAAGAAAAGCAGAAAAAGGTTGGTAGCTTCACCGTTTTCCAAAAATTACTCACACCCGTTTTTGTCCACTTGGGGGCAGCAAATTCCAAACCAAAAACAATGATTTGGTGTCTTACTCCTCACATGATGGCCTTTTCAACATCCAGCAGAGGCAGCACAACATTTGTACTCATCTGTTTTGTTTTTTGGTGTAAATCCAAGGAGCTCAGAGTTGCTCACGAGACAAAAGACATATGTAGAATTTGCAAACACACATTATCTTGTATAAACATGTTTTTTGTATAAACCTGTGAGTCAGCTCTTCCATGAACATCTCTGTCTGTCTTAGAGCTGCTCCCTGCTTCCTGTAGCCCAAGCACTTCCCCGCCATGTGGCTGGTTGGGTAAACCCCAAAGCATCATGGGAGGCTTTTATCAAGCAGCTACGGGCTGAAGATGATCTCGACGATGGCCCCCCGACTCCATGTGGGCCCAGCAAAAAGAGACTGCGTGGTGTTGACCATCAGAGGTGCCGTCATGCAGTCCAGACTCCACCCACCAATGACTCCACACCTGATGCTTTCTCGCAAGTCCCAAACAAGAACAAGACTAAAGACGAATTTTCTGCCGAGGACTGTGTGTCGTGCGTCCAGGCCGACAATGGGCTGGTGGAAAACCTTCCGCGGGACTATCCCGACTTCGTCCTGACTGGGCTCCACGCCTGTGGGGACCTCAGCGCCACTCTGCTCCGCCATTTTGTCAACTGCCCTCACGTCCGCGCCATCACCTCTGTGGCCTGCTGCTACATGAAAATCACGACTAAGGAAAACCCCGCCCCCCCAGGGCTGGTCGCACCTCCCGGTCCGCTCGCACCAAACCCTGAGCCGCCCCCCTCGGAGTTCGGCTATCCGATGAGTTCTTGGGTGGGGGGGCTGGCGGGACAGCAGCTGTCCTACAAGGCGCGCGAGGGGGCGTGCCACGCCCTGGAGGACTACGTGCGGCGGCTCAGGGATGGAAACGAGCTGCTCCGGACCCACTGCTACCGCGCCATGCTGGAGGCCTTCATCAGGGAGGCGAGGCCAGAGCTCCGAAGGGCCGGAATCCAGACCATTAAGAAATCCCACTTATTACCATTTAACGAGTAAGTCAGCTCGACAGCCCTCATTTTGTCACTTCATCAGGTAGAAAATACCACAGTGCAGGTGTTGGCCTTACAGGATGTCCCAGTTTAATACAAATGGAGCAGAGGGATTCCGGGCCAAGTATCCTTACATTCTGTAGATGTATAATTTGCTTAGTGTAGACATGCTCATTGCACGGGTCAGGAAATACCACACTTCAACAGAAACATTATTTAGATACACCAAGTAATTTCACCCAGTTTTCAAGAGAACCTCCTTTTAATTTTGCATATTTAAAAAAAAAAGAAAATACAGTTTGGAACAACTTTGTTGGTTCGAGACTTATTATCTGTTTGCCTCATTAGTTCTTTTCCTAGGTTACCAGTATGAGATACTTTAAACTTCTGTCACAACGTTGCCATCTGGATGTGTAGTTTCCCTCTGCCTTTACGCCTGTGCTCCTTCCCAGATATGCCCGTCTGGGTCTGGCCCGGGTCGGCCTGCCTCCCGCCTTGCCCCTGGACCCGGCGCGAGTGGAGGCCATGTTGAAACATGAGGGCAGGGTGGTGGTGTACTTCAGCCTGGCTCTGCTGCTGGCTCCCGTGGTGGAGACGCTGGTGCTGCTGGACCGGATGATTTACCTGCAGGAGAACGGTGAGTTTGCATGGTGCTGCCACCCAAATGCGATAGTCTGCCACCACTGTTTTGGGTGCTTCCATCCGTTTCAACTAAAGCTCCGACTTTCTCCGCAGGTGTAGACAGTCAGCTGGTTCCTCTCTTCAACCCAAACTTCTCTCCAAGAAACTTTGTGCTTGTGGCTCTAAAACCTTCTGGACAGTGAAGTCGAACAGGAAAAATGGATTTTCAATCTTAAGTTTGAGCTGCTTTGAACAATGTGGGGATTCTATTTGCTGTCCTTTGCACATCATCTGTCCTGCTTACATGTTTTTATCTGCCAATCGTGTTTTTCAGGACTTTTATTTATCACACCTGTTTAAATGGAGCTTTACGGGTAGGTTTTTGTTGTCTTATTTTAAAGCATTAAACAATGCATGATAAAAAGAGTTCTAACCATTCTTTCTTGTATTAAAAAAAAGCATCCTCCTGGAAAAAAGGGGATGCATCATCCTTCTATTTTTATTTGACAGGAAGGCAGCAGGAGAGAGGTAAGGTGACACCTCTGCACACACTACCAGAAAGCTGCAGTCCAAAGAACGACCTAAGCAGAGAAATACAATGGAAATAGGGTAACACAGTCTGAAGGGGTGTCTTTGTTAAAGAATTATGCCACTGCACCCTTCTGGATCATGCCTGAGAAGCCCTCATTTTAAAAGCACACATGTTTCAGAAATATTATATACTTGGAGCCACCATGTTTTTGCATAATCTTAATTAGATTACGATTTATTCGTACTGCACTTTTTGGAAAAAACTATAAGGGTACAAATCAAGATGAGGGAAAGCAAAATGACATTAGATTGACACATGGCTTCAAAAATATGTATATTTTCATACTAGATATAATTGAAGAGACAATAATTTGAAGTCAAAGGTTTCTGATTTATGACATGACATCAAAATTTAGGACATTAAGTAAGTGAACGCCAGTATTTATCCTTCTGTCTCTATAGGTCACTATGCATAAAATGTACACTTTATTCAGTTTAAAGTGCAAGAATGTATCATCATATATTGGACGGGTTGTAAATGGAAGAATGACGGATTCTTATATGAAAATCCAGCACACTGTTGTAGTTTTTCCATTCAGTTTTTTATCAAGAGGCTGTGTTTGTTGTGCAAGCATTCTGCATCCAATTCTGCTAAACCTCAGTTTAAACAAAAAGCACATAATCACAACCAAGCGTTGTTTACCAAGCTCCCGATTTTCTCTCCTCTGGGACCACAAAGCCATGATGCCAAGGCTGAGTCACCTTTCCAGGGTTTTACAAAGTAGAGTTTGAAAAAAGATACGTAAAAACACCACAGTTGGATAATTTTTTTCCTTGATTTGTTTTTTCTTGGATGCTGTCGCTGCTTACAGTCTGATACTATTTACATTTGAATATACTTCTGTTTGGGGTTTTTTAATGAAGACTTTCTTTGGCTGTCACTCTTTACCTTGACATGCCAACTTGAAGATAATGCCGGCCTGATGACACCACTTGCATCAGGGACCCCTCCCATTAGATTTCAGGTTAGTCACAGAGGAGTGTTTATGATGAAAGGAGCTGCTGTGAAGGGAATTCTGTCCATAAACACTTATAGTGATCGAAGAATGAAAAACATGAGCCTTCTCGGTTCTGTTGAGAGGAGAAAACACTGCTTATGTTTCAGAAAGATTGTTCAGCTTCAGTAAGTTTTTTATAGAATATGACGCTCCATCAAGTGGATGTACTGTTTTGGAAATAACACATCTTCTGTTTTTAAGAAAACATGTTGCTTTTAGAAAAACAACTGACATTCTTTCTTTCTGAGTCATGTTTTCTGATGGCTTAACGTAGCAAATGTTTGCCCCCCAAGGTGGCTAAGAAAGCACAATATCACTTCCAGATGTTCCACATGCCACAAAACACTTGGAACACTTTTCTCAGAGAAGACCTCCTGTTGTGAGACCAATTTGGCTTTTCGTTTCTGTAATGCATCCTCTTTATGTGTGTGCCTAGCATTGGTCATAAATCACGACCTGTTTTTTAAATGTTAAATAACTGTTTTTATACACTTGGGGTATATCACCCTTCAAATAGGTTAACCCCTAATGTGCAACGTTTTGAGTCTGAAGGCTGCTCAGAGGAAGGCTACTGCAGAAAAATCATGCTGAGCACAGGAATGCTGCTGTGCAGAGGTAGGTGTGAAATTATTAACAAGTCATTTTTAGTTTGGGTAAAACCCTTAAGGTCTGTTCTGTTTTAGTTTTTTGCATACACACTTTGGTCCAAACTTACCAAATCATTACCAGAGCCCGTGGACACCTGGACCGTCCTGCAGAGCTCAGGGGGTATCTTAAAAAATGTTTGTTTCAATAAAAAATGGATGCTCTGCTTCCTGAAGAGCTGTAAACAGGTTTGGTCTAGTTGTGCAACAATACTGAGCCTTTTTTGTTCTCGTCAGAGATGCATCTGAACTGATAAGTCGCACGTCCCACCTCTAAACTTGTCAGCAGCAGAGTTTTCAATGAGACAGCCCCGGTTCCATGTGTGTTCACCAAAGAGAGACATCAGCTTATCAACCACCACACCTGGATGTAGAATACAGATATTCAAGTGGTTCAGCTTAGTTCTGCAAAAGGATATTGTGAATTGTGGGAGGTAATTGTTTCTTTTGAGCAGTTTCTGAAGAAGGGAAGAGAAAACATGAAGGCGTCCACCTATTCTAAGTAAGAAAGTCAAACATGTATAAATGAATAAACATGAATAAACTGGTCCTGTGTCTTTCATTTCTTCATCTTTTAAGGAGTAAGGAGGTTGTACTTTCCATCCATAAGTCAGGTTTTTTCAAGCACCCCCCCCCCCAAAAAAAAATAAACATTGGTGTGCACATAATAACAACCAGATGTCACACATTCAAAGCTCTTCATCACTTGGACTGAATTTCTTAGAATAGCTACTGCTCTGAGACCAGTTTGGCTTTCAACACGTGTTGGGCATCCTTTTGTTTTGTCTCCTTCCCAGTGTTCCTGTGTCAGTGCACTGTTTGAGGAGAAATCATTTGTGGACTCGTGCTCCTCCTCCAACTTGAGGCACACTCTAATTCCAGACCTCTTATAGCTTTGTGAAACGGTCCCAAACAGTTTTGGGGATCGCTGTGAAGCATGAAGCATTGGTTTTTCATTCCCGTGTGTCTCCTGCTGTTTCCTCACCAGGCGCACACCTGGAGGGACGAAAAGCCGAGCTGCAAGCCACTGACGGCAAGCTTTTGTCAAGGTTTGGGCTACACCACCACCCTCCATCCGACTGGAGTCCAAGGCTTCACCCTGCAGCAGATCGGTCAGTTTGTGGAAACAGCTTGTTCTCCACACATCGCCACACTCATGTGTCGCGTCGGTGTGCCCGAATGCAACTCGGAGGATGACAGCCGAAAGAAACCCTGTCGATCTCTCTGTGAGAAGGTCAAAAAAGACTGTGACTCCCCACTAAGAGCAAAGCGTCTGTTTTGGCCAACAAAAGTCCGCTGTGACACTCTACCGACATCTAACTGTATAGAGGTTAGTAAAAAGACTCATTCTGATATCTGGTATAAAAATACGATAAAGGGGACTAGTGACTTGGTTCTCTTTGGAGTTCATGATCAGATGTAAGCGCATGTTCGGTGTCAAGTCTGAACTATGAGCTTGTCGGTTAAGTACAGCAAGGCTGAAAACAAAAGGAAAAGTGCTTCCAATTCTTCAAACTGCAGTTCATTGTGCAGGTTAACAATGTTAAAAATGATCTTCTGTTTTAAAAAAAAATCTTTTTCAACAGCCACCAAACTCCCTCTCGTAGTTTACAACCAGCAACTAATCAAATAATCTCTTTCCAAAAAAGTCAAGATGTGCTCATTTAAAAATGACAAGTCTTAATTTAAATATTGTTTAGTATTGTAGTTATAGTTATAGGGAACCCTTAAACAGTAGGCTTTAGTCCCTCTAAATAGTCTGATATAATCATGGCAAGTAACAAATCTTAGTTCATAGTAAAGGCTAGTGTCAGTTTGTTCATGACAATAAAAAGATGTGATGGAGGGGACACTAAAAATTGGTTCAAATGAAAAAACCTCAGTGTCTTATTTTCTTCTCCACCAGGGTCAAGACACTCCTGTCACTCAAAGTACCCCAACAGTATGCCAGCCAATCAGAATGCCGCTCTGCCAAGACATGTCTTACTCCGAGACCATCTTCCCCAATATGCTGGGTCACAAAAGCCATGAAGACGCCTACCTGGAGTTGAATCATTTTTCCCCGCTTATTCAAGTGGAATGCTCCCCCCAGCTGAAGCCTTTCTTGTGCTCCATGTACGTTCCCAAATGCGTGTCAGGCAGACGCCAGCCACCCTGCAGGACCCTCTGTGAGCAGGCCCGAGCGGGATGTGAGCCGCTGATGACCAAGTTTGGCTTTCCGTGGCCTGAGTCTTTAAACTGTGACACACTGACAACAGACTCCTGCGAAGAAGTAAGCATGCCCAATTACTTTTACATGAAGACAAAGAGATATGTCCATCTCTGGGGCGTGTGTGAAGAAAAAGAGTTCACTCTTTCATTGATGGCATTTTGATTAACTGTATCACCATTTTTTGTAATTTGTCACACATGTCGAACTGTGTGCAAAAAACAATCTTGAAATTCAAAATTGAAAAATATAATCTCTACTCTGACAAGTTTTTTTTTGAGTAACAGAACTCATTCAGGTTTCTATTTATCCAGGCTTCGGTCATCGGTGTTCATGAAAGATCTTCAACATGCCAGACCATCACAGTACCTTTCTGCAAAGACATGCCTTACAAAGCAACTGTGCTGCCCAACCCACTTGGCCACAAAACACAGGAAGATGCCTACCTGGCCATGAATATGTTCATGCCCCTGGTACAATTTGGGTGTTCAGCTCATTTGAAACCTTTCCTGTGCTCTGTCTACTTTCCTAAATGTGAGTCAGGGAGAGCTCAAACTCCCTGCAGAGGGCTCTGTGAACAGGCGCGAGCTAGCTGTGAGCCAGTGATGAAAAGATTTGGCTTACCATGGCACGAAGCCCACAATTGCGAAACGTTTAGCGCAGAATCCTGTGAACAGGTAAGTCCGACCCGTGAAAATATTCATGGCTTATGCTTTTCTGATGTTCAAAATCAAATTATTTGTATTTTATCCCAGATAATTTTTTATTCAAAAGTATATTTTATTCAAATTTAATCTATGGCTCTGAAAAACAAATAATGACTGACATAACATATTTATAATTTCTATATAGGCCTTCACATCTTTGGTCAGATCCTGAGCACAGTACTCCGTAAAGCTCCACTGATATCTAAACCATAAGAATGTTTGTTGTTGAGGTGACAGGGCTAAAGTGGCCAGCCACAGACGGGAAGTGACCGTGTACTTTTGTGTCTGCAGTATGGTGTGAGCACCAGTGGGGGGATCTGTGAGCCGATCACCATACCCATGTGCCAGGGCTTGTCTTACAACCAGACCATCGTTCCAAATCTTCTGGGCCACACGAGTCAAAGAGAGGCCGTCTCCCAAATGTCCTTCTTCAACTCCATGGTGCAGACGATGTGTTCACCGGACGTGCGTCTCTTCCTGTGTAGGGTGTACGCCCCACAGTGTGTTGAAGGGAAGGTGCAGATGCCGTGCAGATCGTTTTGCGAGAAGGCCAGACGAGATTGTGACGGTCTGATGACCAGTATCGGGGTCTCCTGGCCTGAAACTCTGCAGTGTAACGCTTTCCCAGAGGAGATGTGTGTGTCTGTAAGTACTGAACACTAAATGCATGCGGACTGCCACATCTCAAAACCATGCCTTAAAACATCATCCTTCTATTTTTATTTGACAGGAAGATAGCAGGACAGAGGTAAGGTCACCCATCTGCACACCCTGCCTGAAAGCTACAGCCCCGAAAAGTCTTGGGAAAAAAACTCTACTTGCTGCTAACAACATTATCTCCAAGTTCTTTTTTAGCATACATACTAAAATTGAATAACCTGGGTAGTTTTACTTGTTGGATACTATTTGTTTTTACTTCCAGATGCTAAGAGCTGAACATCTTCTTGCTAAACTGAATGATGGCGGTTATACTGTTCGGGGCAAACGTCAGTTTAAATACCACTCATTTAACCAAATTATCTCATGAACTGAAGACTTTTTTTAAAGCCCCGTTGCATTGTTTGAACTTTAGCCCTAACTCTCAAGACTGCCCACCTGCTCCTGACCTACATGGATGTATCCTTTGCAGCCGAAACTGTCTGAATCGTCTCCCTAATGTCAAGTTTTCTGTAGCTTTTTCACCATGTACAAGCCGATTCTTAGATATAAAACATATAATATGTAAGAAAATGTCCTTCTTTGGACCACAATGATTATTTTGTACAACATCCCCCACAAAGCTGACGAGGCTTCTTTACACTATCTGACCTGTATGTTGAATAAGATTAGATCTTCAAAAATGAGATAAAAAGTTTTCTTCCTCAAACATTTGCATTTAGAGGAGGCCGGTATGCAAAAAAGTCCTAACTGCATGACAAAAAATTGGCTCTTTAACCAGCGTTTTCAGGCAGACAAGACAGGAGACCTGGATGCGGTGGAGCTGTTTAAACTGGAACATTACGTGGCGGTTACCAGGAGAGAGTATGTGGAGAGCTACGAGAGCAGGAACCCCCCCGCTGTAACTCAGAACCAGATGAAGAAGAGGCTTGCTGCCCATGGTAAACGAGTAAAGATTTACACACACACTGTTTGACATCTTTTTTTCTCTAAGACTTTTTAATCACATTCATTGAAAAGAAAAATCCATACAAATTAGTCAGAGGATTAGATGGAGGATTTTGGTAGAAATAGTTTTTCACAAGCAGTTTCAATCACAACGTGTGATATGCAAATATTGCTGTTTGCAAGTTCAGTCATTTATGAAATGCTCCCCCTCTGGCACACTTTCTACACAATAAGCTTCAACAGATAAAAAAAAAAAACTTAAATTTGTTGAAAGTTGCATTGAAATATCGTCAGTAATCATCTCTTTGTCATAGATATTGATTTAGATGAGGAAACATTCAGAGTTTTGTGGTTTGATTACAACTCCCACGGTGGGATTGACTACAACAACTATGTGGCAGCCCTGACAAAACTACACATCCTCAAAGGTAACTACAACACAATAAGTATGATCTTTTTCATAATGCAGGCATGAATTTTCTCCAACGTTTTGAAGATTTCTTCTCCCCACATTTTGATGCATTTCTCACATTAGCTGAAATTTGTTCCGCTTACTGTAAGTCCTGGAATATCCAAATGTTATAAGCAAGTAAGAGGAATGTTTGATATTTGATTTAGGATTGAGTCTCATTTTCCAAAAACTGTGAACATCTTCTTCCTGCCTCAGATCGTTTCCAGGCCCATCAGATTAATTTGCCTTGTGACTGCCAAGTTGCCAGATTCTCTTTTAAACAGGTATGTATTCACAGTTTTATTGATCATTTTGAACATATCAACTTTGACTCATATCTCAGTTGTTTGCTTGCCTGTGTGTAAACCTACAATACATCAATTTACAATAAACACAATTAGAATTTACATCCAGCTATGTTATTAATCCGATTGAAAGATTATTCCCCTTTTTGGGATAGGTTGGAGATTATTCAAGAATGAATCATTTCAATGGTTTTAGTGTCATTCAAGCTCAAGTTTAAAAAAGCATTAACTTATGTCTCACAGCAAACACACAACAGACAATATACTTAAAAGATACCCACACATTACCAAAAGTTTCAACAACCAAGGAAAGGATTTTTTTCGGGACATAAAATAAAGAACAGCGGTAACTCCAGTACTCAAAATATTTAAAATGGGGACATCTGCTGGTTTCAAACTGGTATAAACAGAATTCCTTTATGCTCTAAAACTCACTGCAAAGAGAATTTCTGAGCAAAGTATTATATATGTGCTACATTACACTTTAGATTATAGAGACCTACATAATTTGTTCATACTAAAACTTGTTATATTTCATTATTTTCAGTTCATGAACTCTGCCATAATCTGAGGATCAGCGCAAGCCAACAAAATTTGGGGTAGTTCAGAAAGACTGAGCTGGAGAAACCATGTAGTTATTCCACAGGGTCTTTAGAAAATAGTTTCAGTGACTAAAATCTTTAAAAGAAGCCTCAGAAATGTACTTTCTGTGTTTTTAAGCTAAAAATGTTTATATTTGTCTGCGTTAATAGAATAAACTACTATGAATAACTGTTTTGTCAGATTATTTTGTTAGGATGGTTCATTTGACAACTATTAAAAAATGCTAAAAAAAAACAGCCTTATGTTTGCTTAACCTGAGACCCTCTGTATTTAAATCTGACACACAGACACTGAGCACTTATCCTGCCGAGGCTTCAGCCTGAATGCCGGGTAGAGAGGTTCAGTGAATGTGGTGTGGGGGCCGTTAAGGGTGTGGAGGTGGATCAGTTTTTCTGAAGTAACGCTGTGAAATGAGAGTGTGTTAGCAGGCCAGTCCAGGTACACCCCCACTCTGCTGGAGGGGGGGGCATAGATTGGTGTTCTGTTGTTGTTGTGCTGAAAAAACCATCCAGCATCGCTGCACGTCAGACTCCAGGACTGGTCGTTGTTTCCCAGACAAAGATCATCAAGCTTTCCTTTTCTTCCTGTTCCTTTGTAAGTCACAGCAATTTGAACTGCTCCGACCCGCTCGACTTCCCAGTAACAGCGGTCAGCTGTTGACAGACCATGTGTGCCCATCACCTGGTTCCAGAAGTCAAATCTCTCTGGGTGATCAGGATATGGGTGCTCCTCTTTTGTCAGTGACACTTTTTTGTTGTTCTCAGACAACTTGAGCTTGTTTTGCAACGTGTGTGGGTCCAGAGAAAGTTCACAAGCATCTGTCAAAGAATGGAGACATTAGATTAATAGATATACACAGCGAGGCAAATACTGTAAAAGGTGCTTCATTTACAATGACTCAGCACTATTCAACATTTACAAAGAAGATTGAATTATAAACTGAAGCTACAAAGTACTAAATACATAATTTAGATAATCAGATGGAAATTAAAACAGCTATAAATTGTATCAGGAGGACTTGTGAAAAGTTTATTTGTAAGTTCTGATGACGTTCATCTGTGGGATTGAGCAAAAATGGCGCAATATTAAACTTCTAGTTTATGTTACACAATCTGGAATAAAAGCATAGGTTCCAATCCCCCCGCGACCCCATTTGGAATAAATGGTTCAGAATATGAATGGATGGATGGAATAAAAACAATGAATTATGTCTTATAATATATTTTCTGACTTGTCATCCAGAATAAAAAGGCTAACTTACACTTCCTGAGACCGGGTTTCATTGTTGTTGCTTCATTGTGGTCCACTCTGGAAAAAAGTGAATAAAGTTATCTAAAAGTGTATATGCAGCCATTCATTTTCTGATAAGTGTTTATACATTCTGCAATAATATAAGTATATTATTTTATCAATATCATCTAAAAGTCATATACAAGATACTTTAATAAAAGCTGTAAAACTGGTAAAACTAACAATTACTTTATACGAAAGTCTTTCTTTATGGTGATATTGTGTTTCAGCAAATCTTTATAATCTGTGTGACCATTTATTAACAAAACTAATCGACTTGTTGCCCATACTTGAGGACTTTCAGTCCATGACTTGCAATAGGTTTCCATCCTGAGTCTCCAATATGGTTGTAACTGAGGTCCAGCACCTTCAGATTGGATAGGTTGGATCTCAAAGCTAAATCCAGAGCAGCCCAACCTTCCTCAGTGATGAGACAGCCTGACAGCCTGCACACAAGTAAATTCACATCTTATAAAAACTTTAAGGATGGTCCTGAAAGCATGTTCATTACACAATGTATGACACTTTGCATAACAATTGCAAAACAAAATCAGCATCAAAATCCAAAGGACCACATAATTTGGGGTATCTTATCTCTGATATGTTCATAAATCTGATTTGTTCCTAATAAAGTCAGCCAACTAGCAAAACAGAACAATTGAGCATGGTTTACGACCCATTTTTCAGTGTTTTATTCCGCAAAAATAAACTTTGATCTAGGTGGTTAAGAACACTTGAAGGAGCATAAGACATCTTTTTCTAAAATGTGGTGGGCAAAAGTTGAGACCCTGACCAAATTGGACAATCTTTTATATCTTTTAACCAAACATTTAACTTCCCCTCATTGATTGGAGATATGAACCCAACATGATAATACTTTGCATTTAATTGGGCTAAAAAAGTTATTTCAGATTGACTACAAGCTGTAAAAA